AGTAACGGCAGCAAGTGCGCGAACGACCGCGAAAGAATGAGCGGCGACGGGATCCTGCGGGTTAGCCGGCGAGGCGATAATGGAGAAGAAACTTAAGAGCCAATCCCACGGTCAAGCCGGAGTTGACTCATCGAGCACTCGACTCGCCAAGGACAGCCGTGTCCGCGAGCCACGTTCCGCCGGAAGGAAATACTTATGTTCGCTGTAAACAGCCGCGGCGCGATCGTATTGAGCGATAACAATCCGAATCGCACTGACTCAATCGCTTCACTCGTCGCCGTGGATGCATACGATATGTCAAGCATCGTGCGTAAAAGGGGCACGTGACACTCGCGTCAGCTGTACGATTTAGCCGGTGCCAACAACGACTCGATGCAGAGATGTTCGTAAATTTATCAGTACTTTTTTTTGTTTTTTTTTTATTGCAATTAAACGATTGTCGGGATGAACAATAAAGTTGAAATTGCAACTACATGCACACGTATGTCATTAAATTCCTTCAATAACTTCTATACAGTTCGTTTCATCTGTATGATTTTTTTACAAATTAGATTTTCTCTTAAAATTTACCCTGAAAATCATATAATCGTAGGACAACGTGGCATTTTGAAGACCTTCATGACAGTTTTTTGAAATTTTACTATACATTTTACCAATAATTATTACTTAGTATACATTTTACTAGTGTGGTAAAATTTTAGAAAATCCTCGTAAAGTTCTTCAAAATGCCATGTTGTCCCGCGATTACACGATTTTCACGGTAAATTTTAAAAGGAAATTCTCTCAATTGTTTCAATTGCAAATTACCGAAATCAAATCGCGCATTCGTGATACTGGCACAAGGGGGACGATATTTAACTGAACGTAGAAATTACGGCGACGCGCGAGAGGAGCAAATGTACAACAAAATTGAGCTCGGTGTCGCGCCTGCATCGGTGCCGCGCGAAATATCCGCGGTCGCATTTTCACCGTCGCGTCAACGGCTCGGGATACAATATTTGAGACGCATTCCGCCAGCTAGGCGGACGCGTCGCCGTGCATCCGGCACATACGAAACTACGGGCGCGAGGAGGAGCGGCGCTCACTCGCTCGCGCTCGCGCGCGCGCGCGCGCGGCGGAGGGCACGCGCGGAATGCGCGGAATGCAACGGGGCCACCGTCGTTCCCCCGATGATCGCGGACCGCTCTTGGTGCCCGAATACCTCCGTAGTCCGAGAGCTCCCGTTTTTTTCCCCCCCGCGTACGCAACGCGCCCCGTCACTCGTCACCCCTCATCCCGAGCGGAGTTCGACGCGCCGAGTCGATTACGCGACGCGTTGTACGCGAACGGTAATGTATCCGGTACCAGGCGGGACAACGGATGCAGCGTCGAATAGCGCGGCCGCACCTTCCATCCGCGACTGACACAATGGACAGCAAGAAAAACTGAGAGTCGAGGGTAAACTGCTGACCAGATCGTGTACACCAATACCTACTAATGCCCAGTAGGCATTACTTTATCTTATTATCTTACTTGTTTATCTTGTTTTATCTTTATAATGCCCCAGCAAGGCCTAATGCCCAAACTAATGCCTAGTAATGCCCAGTAATGCCGCAAATCTGTACGCCACAGTGCCCTGAGCGGTTTACCCCTCGCTGGGAGTACTGGGACAGTAGTTTCTTAAAATTCGACGAAGCTAGCCATCGAAGAAAGAGTGAGAACAAGTGTCCATAGGCAAATGGCCCCGTTTTTTTGCGCATTCGATTTTGGTCACAAAGTAGGTACCAAACGAAAGGTCTCGTCGAGCTGATCACAGATATGTCAGTCGCATAGTGTACCTATTTAACGTTCCAGAGAAATCGAGCTCCAAAACTGATCAAGTGATCAACGTGATCAAGAAAGCAACAAGAATGGAGCCACCTTTTCGGACAAAAAGACATTTCTTCTGTCACTGACATGTTCAGAATGGTACTGAGTCGCTTTACCAAGATGATCTACAACCAGGTACCAAGGGCTCTTGGCCAAATGGATGCCTTTGGTACCTGGTTGTAGGTCGTTTTGGTAAAGTGGGGAACTTTTGGCGCCCGATATCTCTGGAACGTTAAACAGGTACACTCTGAGACTGACGAAAGGCATCCACTTGGCCTTGAGCCTTTGGTACCTGGTTGCAGATCATTTTGATAAAGTGGGAATCTTTGGAGTTCTAAGTATACCACTGAAAATCGATATATTATAACTGCAGATCAGTGACTGCTCACTGTTTTCAGTGATGGTCCACTGATTGACTTTTAGAGAGTGAAAAAGCTTCGCTTCTTATTATAAAAAAAATATAAAACGTGTAAAGGGAATGCCATTGTTAATTAACTGTGTTTACTATTAAAGAATCGATACGTGTATAATTAATTTATTTCTCTCGGAATTAACTGCGTCGGGAGGAAAAGGGTTGGGCCGAGTCTCGCGTGAAAAATGCTGTGACGTATGCGAGCGCGACGAAGCTGGGGGGGGGGGGAGGAGATACGCGCGAACGTTCAATCGCAGCGAGATTAAGATGCGCTCGCCGAGGTACGCGAGGGCATTCGAGGACGTTCCGAAAAGAAAGAGGTCGCCCTTTGTGCCCGTCCGTACGCTGGGAATCCGGACATCTGGTCGGCTCGCGCACTGGGAACGTTTGCCAAGGTTAAATAAAACGACCTGAACGGTCGCCGTCGCCGGACATTCGGAGCTGCACGCATTGCATCCCGGATACGTTGCGCGGTGCGTGTCGTCAGAATAATGCGGCATCAGCGGCGGCGGCGGTGATCGCACGACACGCAATACCGATTTCCCTCCCCCTCCTCCGTTTACACGTGCGGACGGCCCGTGAAGCTCGAGGGGGTTAACGATGCGAACGACCATTCACCGGACGTGTTCGGCGAAACGGTACACGGCTAATTCGGTCGACCCGGTCGACCGGTCGCGGCCGCATCAGGTGCATCCAACATCCTCCGGCCGACGCTCTCGCGTTGCGTAGACGCGAGCCGCGTACCGCATCGCCGGCGACGATGCGTACAATGAGTGCACTTCGGGGATCTGGAACGGGGCTAATTAACGCTCCCTCCCGCGGGTTCTGCGGAACGGAGGGGCGAGAGGGAGAGGGAGGGCCAGACGGCGCCAGTTCGAATACCAGCCGGAATCGTGATCCCCCTTTGAGAGTTCAATTGGAGGACAACGAAATTCATATGTTCTCCAGTTTCGTCGCTTCGCGCGAGTCTGCAATTGAAAATGTGTACCTAAAATCGTATATTAGATTTTCCATAGCAGATGTTTATTTCGTGCTTTTCAACTTTGAAAGGGTTTACAATACCGGCAATATAATGAATCCACCGATAACGCGTTACAAGTTTAACAAGAGGAACAATTATTTTAATTTCTTACATTTTCTACTATTATGCTTGTTTGTCTCTCATTGTTACCCGTTATTATTATTTCTGCCCTGAAAAGATTCTCTAGATTTCTTGGCTTCTCTTCTTTTTCCTTATTTTCATAATTTTCTTCACCTGATTCCTTCTCCCTTACTTGAATTTATATAATAAAGCGCATATACTCTGATATAATGTACACTAAGGCCCGTATTTATAGTCGTTTCTCAATTCTCGTCTCAAGTATCAGGTGTATCAGGTGAGTTACTCAGATTGAAGTTTTATCGTCTTGAGATACGGACGGTTCAATAGTTACATTTTGATTAAAGATCAACTGATTGCGAAACTATTCAGCTGAAAAAAAACCGATTACTCACCTGAACTACGTCTTGAGAATCAAACATCGATTACAGCGGCGATACGCAATTTTTCTCGACTCAAATCTTAGATGATACGAAATCTAAAAACTATTTTCTTCCTTTGTGAATCTCTATTGAATCGAGATTACAAACAAACATCGAATTGAGTTTCAAGATTTATCTGTTAAACAGTATCGTGTCTCAAGACTGATTTTAGCTGCTCTCTAAAAATCGATCAGTGGATTATCACTGAAAACAGCGAACAGTCACTGATTGATTTTTAGAGAGTGAGTTTTTCAGCAGAATCACGACTGTAAATATGTACGGGCCTAAGAATCACTGATGCCGTCCCGCATGAATCTATGCACATATCAACACATTTATACACTTTGCCAGGGTTGGGAAGTAACTCGTTACTTGTAACGAAGTTGCAGTTACAGTTACTTTTTTTTGTAACTCTAACTTAACTTTGTTACTTTCTCTCCGTCTGTAACTGTAACTTAACTCAGCTACATTTTTTCGACAACTAGTAACTAATTTAATAGTTACTTTATATATTTTAATAATATTTTATATATTTAATAAAATCGTATTAATCTTTAAAATTGTACGTAAAAAAAGAAACTGTTGAAGTTTAATTAAACTTACCTGCACATTTGAGATTAAAACATGGAGATTACTCCAGGGCAATTTTAGTGTCTCGATAACAAAGAAGGGGATGAAAATGGCGATTTTTACATCTAAGAATTCAGCAATACCGACAATAACGTACGAAACTGACGTTCCGCGACTCTTAGTTCGCCGTCCACTCCTCGTTGCTACCATCTTGTCGGCCTTGCTATCGTAATTAAGGGCCAATTTAATTAAGAGGGAAGGAGAGAGAGACACGGGGAAAAAGTCGCCAGCGGCACGAGAGCCACTTCGCAGGATGAATGAACTCGTCGCGCGGATATGTAGTACCCTCGGGTGTACTTGTTCCACGTGTGTGTACACGCACGTATACACGTGTGCCGGCACGTGTGTTTATATATACGTGCCAAGTGCCGAGCGCGACCGCGAATGGCTCGATGACTCTAATTAGTCGTCCTAGTTTGCGCTTGTTTAGAGACACTTAAGTTTATCTGCGCCCGAGCCGCGTGGCGACCGGCCATCCAGTTTCTTGCTTTCGAGCAAACGCGAACGGCGGAGGAGCGTTTAATAAAATTTAGCAACCCGAATAAGCCGCGGATCCGCGACGTCTCGCCACCAGGCGTTGTTATTCCTGCAGCATCCGTTTCTTACGCTTCCTTCCTGTGTTGACAGAATGAAGAGATGATCGCGAGTCTGTCAATGAACGGCGGCGGCAACGGAGGGCCGGGGAGCCGCGTGGGTCGCGGACTGGCCCTTCACAGATCCAATTCCAGTCTGGAGCTTCCGCACAGCCCGGATCCTGCCTCCCGGGTGCCGGAGACGCCGCTCAGGAGGGAGTATGGTTCCCATGGTACGGGTCGAATTTGTTCTAGAACAGTTTTCCCCGAACTCTGAAAGACCGGCAACGATAGATTCGAAAAGTACACTTGCTCTAAATCGTCCTAATTGGCTGCCTACAGAGATGGTCCGTTAGTCTCTTCTTTTTTATTTAACCGTACGATTAGGACGAGAGATTTTGGCCGCGGTAATATAATTTTAACGCGACTTCGATTCTTCGTACTTTTTCCACTTAAAGTTCGACGGTCGAAGGAGGTCGACCTTCAGGAACGTTGCGAATGCGCTTCAGTATTGTTCGTCCCATATCGCAGGAAGCATCGACGTAGTGGCGCAGTCCATCACGGGCGGCGAGAACTTCTTCGCCATGCTGCAGGACTTTCGACCGTCGGACCAGCGCGGCGCCGTCACCGGTGACTATCTGCGTCGCGTCCCGGACGGGTCCGGGCAGCCGCTCGACGTCGACGAGGTCTGCGGCCCGACCGGCGCCGGTTCCAGTCCGAAGCTGCGGCTGAAGTTGAACAGACTGTGGGGCGGCAAGCCGCCGCGAGCGATGGAGGAGACGTGCACCAGCCCGGTGATGTCGGCCGACGTGGAAGAGCGGCACCGGAGACGCGCGTTCGCCCATTACGACTGCCCGTCGTTGACGGCGAACCTGGGCTACGCCGCGAAGCTGCGGGGGATTCTCCTGGCCAGGAGAAGAAACACTGCCACCGGGGCGTCCGCCGCCAGCGCCCTGAGAGCGTCCACGCCCGACGAGACTCCCGAGGAGGATGCCGGTGATGGGAAAGGTATAGTTATAGAAAAAAGTAGATGTAACAGTCACAATATGGACATCGCTCGATTTTCAATTTTTCTGGAGTCAAGGCTTTTTCTCCTTGGCGGGGCAGAAATGGAGAAGAGAATCCTACCGATGATTTCAGGTAACGACTTGTTGGAGCCGTGTCCCTTCTTCCGCAACGAGATCGGCGGCGAGGGAGAGCGCGAGGTTTGTCTCACTCGCTGCTCGCCGGGCAACGGAATTCACAGACCGTCCTTATCTTACGGTGTCTCCGTCCTGGAGCCGCCGCCCGGCGAGACTTTGTGGAAGAACACTTGTCCGCTGCAGAAACGACCCCTGCCCATCGAGAGCGTCGACGAGGGGGCCCATTACTACCGGCGATACTTCCTCGGTAAGCGAACGAAGACGCGCAATTTGCTCGCGCGAACCTTTTGTCGCGTTGCATAAAAGATTCTCGTCCGTCACGCAAAGGAAATACGTCTGATGCCTGCATAATTGCACATTGCCCGTATTATAGATGAAAATTTAATATTTTTTAAATAAATGTTCAATTTTAAAAAAATTACACTAATTAATTTAGACAATGAAAATCAAATTCACACTCACAAACGCGCTGTCGATTATTCGCTCAAAGTGTCCCCAACCGGGAATCTAAGGGAACGGAATATCCTGTCGCAGGGCGAGAGCATCAGAACTGGTTCGGCATGGACGAACAGCTGGGACCGGTGGCCATCAGCATCCGCAAAGATGTGAGTCAGTACCGCGTGATCGTGCGCACGTCGGAGTTGCTAACGCTACGCGGGTCCGTGCCGGAGGAGGCCCTCGGTATCAGGCCGCAGGGTCGGCCGCCCACCAGGGAACTCCTGGAGCTGGTCGCGCCGGAGGTGCAACTGGGCTGCCTGAGGCTCGGCACACCCGCCGCCGAGGAGGCGCTGGCCAGGTTGGACGAACAGGGATTGTCCAACAGGTACAAGGTCGGCGTGCTCTACTGCCGGGCCGGCCAGAGGACCGAAGAGGAGATGTACAACAATCAGCACGCCGGCCCGGCCTTCCTGGAGTTTCTAGATACCATTGGTACGCAATGTTCCTCCGTTGCAACGTTGAACGTGCGTCGAAAGTAAAGGCTTCGCTATGTAAAAATCAGTAGGGGTACAACGTAAGATACACGTGCTTTTCTTAGCACAAATGCTTCGCATCTCGCTAAGAGCGCTCGTTCACTTTTGTCCACGTTAATATTAAGAAACTGCGCCTTTAAATTCTTTTATGGCGAACTCGGTTGCTTGCATTAGTTCGCACTGACTGCACACTAAGGCTTGTTTATAGTAGATTCTTATATTTAAGGATTGTCTTGAATACCCCTAGTAGCACAGTGTATTGACCAAACATTGGTTAAACATTGGCCCAATGTTTAGCCAGTGTTTGGTCAATGCACTGTGCTACGAGGGACCTCTTGAAATATTTTTTATCCAGAAAAATGGTCTGTATAGCGTTCACGCGGTTCATTCTTTGATTAAATACTCTTTCAACGTGTATTTAAGACAAAGTTAAATATAAAAGTATATATTGATTGTTAACAAGCCTCAGTGTGCACTCAGTGCGCACTAGTGCGAGCAACCGAATTCGCTGTCAGTTTCCGCTCGTTATCCACCAGGAAATGCACGTCTCTTCGCAGCCAGAAAGTTTTCGCGCGCGTATCAACGTGCGAGTATCGACGCGTTGGCGAAGAACTCTCGTCGGAAGTCGATGAAATTATTCTCTCTCGTAAACGCCGCAAACAAAGCGACCGGAAATGCGATTTACACGCGACTATCAGCCGTTCGCTTGGCGGGTAGTTTGACTCGCTTTATCGGCGGTTAGGCCGATTCAATACCCCGGAATGATTTCACCTACCGTATCTGGTAACGCTAATCATCCGCAAACGCGCGCGCGGCAATTTCGCGGTCGTTACGTACGGACTCTCCGGCGTGGAATCGTTGCGTTTACGATCGCCTCAGTTATTCCCATTAACGATTACTGTCGCTTTCTAAAAGAGAAACGCGCGTCCTGGTTTTTTTTTCCTTCTTCCTCCGAGCGTCGCGCCACGCGGGCCGATGATTATCTCGCGCGTTAATTCGTGGACGCGATTATCAACTTTCCTACGTAATCCTGCGAACGGGAAGCGCCTCAAAGAGACTCGACTTGTTTCTATCCTTTCTTGCAAAACTCGGCTTATTCAATGCGTAAAGATTTCTTACATGTCTCCGGCTCCTCCCTTTTTTTCGGAGAACTAGGATCACGTTCGACAAGCATTTTTCTGGTAAGCTTATTCCACAATGGACGCAAGGCGCTAAGCCGCAACGCAAGAAATCGACCGATCACAGTCAAATATGAGAAGAATGATCGACTGTCGTTGACCGATTTCGTGCGTTGCAGCTTAGCATTTTTTTTGCGTCCATTGTAGAACAAGCTTAACGCGAGAACGCACTGGACCGCCGAAAGTAGGATTGATAACGCCGCTCGCTGCGCAAACGCAGGCGCGTCCCGAAGACGCGCGACGAGGAGACGGCGATTCATCGCCGCGCGCCGGGCAATTGAGATAATCGCATGTTTCCACGACAGGCCAAAGAATAAAACTGCGAGGATTCGAGGGTTACAAGGCCGGACTGGACACGAGGACCGACTCGACGGGTACGCACGCGGTAGCGGCCACGCATCGCGGGACGGAAGTCACCTTTCACGTGTCCACCATGCTACCCTTCACGGCTAACAACCGGCAGCAGCTGCTGAGGAAGAGGCACATCGGAAATGACATAGTCACGATAGTTTTTCAGGTGCGGTTTTACAACCGGCCGTAAATTGAGGCCGCCGCGATTACGCAATCGCGCGATAATGACTGCGCGGCGAGAACGTGGGGTATGACGCGTATTCCCCCTCTGCTAGATTTATTATGCAGCCTCCGCAAAAAAAAGCAACGTGAGACATCGCGATCGCGCCCGCGTGATTCATATCGCCGGACGACGTTTAATTGGGATCGCGAGTTACCTGTCGCGTACTTACGTCAGAACGAGCGAGTAACAATTTTTCCGCAACCGCGCGATACCGGTTCTTCGAGCTTAGATATTTCGCGCGAGCGGTTTCCGCTCGCGTGTTTCATGTAGCTTTTAACGCGAGGTTGATAATCAATTTTAATTAGGTGTACGCCACTTCGACTTCCGCTTAAGACCGCATTTCAAGATCGAAAGTTATCGGCGCGCAGTTTTTGCTGTGTTGAAAAGAAGATGCAAAAATATTATCAGGCGCTAAGATCCGGCCCGTACTAGGCGTTGTTGTTATTTGTAATAAAGCGGTCAAGATTCGCTCATTATTTCTTAAGCTAGCGCCACACTATGCGCGATTCGTGAATAGTGCGGAGGAAAAATTGGTCGATTTGCCGTCGATTTTGACGAAAATAGTGATATTTTGACTAATATTAAAACTTGTATGAACTAATTGTATGAACTTATGATACAAGCCCTGTAACAACAGGTATAACTTAAAAGTTGCCGAAATTAACACAACCGAAACGACAAAGAACAAATTACGAATGTTAAACTGCGAATCACGAATTGCGCATAGTGCGGCGCAAGCTCTACAATTAATAATTCCTCATCCCCAGGAACCTGGAGCGTTGCCGTTCAGCCCGCGAAGGATACGCTCCCAGTTCCAGCACGTGTTTATCGTCGTGCAAGCCGTAAATCCTTGCACCGAAAACACGCAGTACAGCGTGGCGGTGTCGAGGAGCAAAGAAGTGCCCATCTTCGGGCCACCAATTGCGAAGGGCGCCACGTTTACGAAGGGAAAGGCCTTCGCGGACTTCATCCTGGCGAAGGTCATAAACGCCGAAAATGCGGCTCACAGGTAGGTCTCGCCTCTTCCTCCTCAGTTTTGCGTGTCACTGACGAGACTGAACGCGTATCTTTCGTCAGATCCGAAAAGTTCGCCACAATGGCCACCAGGACGAGGCAGGAGTATCTGAAGGATCTTGTCACAAATTACACCACCACCACAGTCGTCGACACCGGCCAGAAGTTCTGTACGTCGAGCACTTTTAGCAAATTTTACGTTTTCAATTAAAATGCAGTAATTCTCATAATAATTAATTAGATTTCAAATTGCTCTGTTTAATTAATTACATTGCAATTATTTTAATGACGTTCTTGAGGTACTTATCGCTTCATTTTTTGCGACACAGCGATGCTGTCCTTCAGCAGCAAGAAGAAGACGGCGGTGCGACCGAGGCTCTCTTGCGACGCGTCTCAACGCGGCGCGATTTGCTGGCAAGTCATACTCGAGGACAGCAATCAGCATACCGATTGTTATTTAGGCATAAGCATAGACACCATCGTGCTGATCGAGGAGCACTCCAGGCAAATAGTGTTTGTCACTCCCTGCATGAGCGTGCTCGGATGGCACGCCCAAACGAACAGGTGAACATCCCGGTTTCTTAATATGACACGTTACTTTATTGCCACATCGACTAATCTGAACAAAAAAACATTAAGTTGTTCAATTGCCAGTCGTAATAATTCCCTCTTAAGTCGCGCAACCGCCACTTACCGCGTTATTCACGACCAGTTTTTATCGCTGAAACCGCTCGCGGAAATCGAAACGATTAATTGCGGCCTGACATTTTTCCTCTGCGATTCAGTTTAAGATTGTATCATCATCAAGGCGAATGCATTACCATACACGTACGCGGTGATTACGGCGAGAGGGACGAGTTAATGGAAATTGTGGCTCGGCTGCGCGCCGTAACTCAAGGCGCGCCGGCCTCAGAGCTGTCGCTGAAGAGGAACAACCTCGGACAGTTGGGCTTCCACGTTCAGCCCGACGGCGTCGTGACGCAGGTCGAAAGTATGGGCCTGTCGTGGCAGGCGGGCCTGAGGCAGGCCTCCAGGCTAGTCGAGATTTGCAAGGTGGCCGTGTCGACCTTGAGTCACGATCAGATGGTCGATCTACTGAAGACCAGCGTCCAGGTTACCGTCACCGTCATACCGCCGACCAACGACGGACAGCCGCGAAGGTACGGGATCCTAAATTACCTTATCCCGCGGCCCTCCGTGCCTTTGATTCTCAATTGCTCCTTGTGTAAAGCAAATCGAATGCAAAGTTGAGTTCAACCAATTTGACGTTAATCCTTTTATACGCCGCTTTTACGAGTTCAAGTTTCAACTTTTTAATTAAGCAGATAGAACGCGAAACTAACTGGAGGCTGAAGTTTTAGATTAACCACGTCAAATAAAATATTAAATAGATTTTCCCCTTTTTTTTTACCCAACAGAGGGTGCACGCTGCAAAACTGTCACTATCTGTCGAATAATTACGAGGGGGATTACGAGAATGTAACCAGCGCGGATAACGCGCCGAGTCAGCAAACGGCGATGTCGCACCAACGGCGATACGATCGATCGTTCAGCCCGCCGCGATCGAGCAACAGCTCCGGGTACGGTACTGGATCGAGCTCTAGATCGTTCAACGATCCACGGTTTCCGTTGGAGGGTACAATGACTAGCAGCAGTAGCGGACACAGTAGTGCCGATGATCGTTGGTGAGTGATTGACAGTGAGATCGCATTGATCCTTGCACGACTCATCGTAACGTTAACAAAGCGTCCTTTTTTGAACTGTCGATCGTTGAACGTGCAAAATTACCGCGTCCGCCTTTGTACAGAAAATCATTTCGCGCTTAAACGAATCGGAGGAAACAGAGCGCTTCTTGCTTTCAGGTACGAGCTTCTGGAACCGCAGGATCAAGACGGTGGTCATCGCCCGGACGGTACGCCGCCGCCGCTACCAGTGCGACAGAATTACCAAGTCGTGACACCCAGCAAGTCCGGCCAGAAGAAAGACAAGACACACTACGTCACCGCCAAGCAACTCGTGGACGGCTCGAAGCATCGCGAGCATAGTCACGAGCATTACACGAAGGAGAGCAATTACGTGTCGTCGAAGATAATTCAGGAGAACGCGCGGCACGAGAATTACCAGCGGCAGCTGGACAATGCGCATCGCGGCCAGGATCACGTAACCACGAATTATGTAAAACTGCAGAAGGAGCGATACGAGATCAAACAGGAGAACTTGTACGCGTCTCAGAGGGAGCTCCACAAGAATGACGCGCAGCATCACGGCCACCAAAAGCTCGGCGCGTCCAATTCCCTGCCGTTGGCGCACAATGCCGGTTACAGTCTGCCAAAGTCGGGCAGCAACAACAATCTCGGCAGGTACAACGAGTACGAGCAGTCCGGCGGCAAGTACGACTACGAGACGCCCACGAAGCCGGACAGAAATTCCAAGTACGAGATGCAGGAGGAGAAGGCGATCGAAAGGCCGGCGACCAAGTACGAGTACGATGTGAGAGCTCACGACAAGAGGGTCGGCTACGAGTACTCGGAGGATATTTACGAGAGGAGGAACAGCAAGTACGACGCGGAGCTGGCTAAGTACGAGATGGAGTGTCAGCACGGTGGTAACGAGAGGAAGCACAATGACAGCAACGGAGAGCACAATCGGGACCACGTTAAATACGAGATGTCGCACGACTTCAAAGTAGGCGAGAAGGTCACCTGCCTGAAGACTAGCATGTCGGAGCGACCGGTGCCCCACAAAGTGAGCGTCGAGTACCGAGTACAGTCGAAGGACTTCCCGGCCAGTCTGCCGCCGGAAATGAGGATATCGGATGTCAATTGTCCAGAGGTGACTACGATGCCCAGTGAGGACGAGTTGTCGAACGGCTCGGGCAGCGTTTCGCCCAGACTGCGACGCGCCAACAAACATCGCGGCGGCAATCGCACCCCGTCCAGCGGCAGCTCCAGGAACCAGAGTCCCCGACCCAAGCCGGGTATGCGGAACTCGCACCGGAATTCCGCGAACCTGACGTCTAGCACGCTGCAGGAGGACCTCATGAGATTGATCAATCCCGACTACATCGCCGACGACAGTCAGATCGTCAACAACAATCTCATGAACAACGTGATGAGCCCGAATCAAAATTCGAACAAGATAAACAACAATATGTTGGAGATCCAGAACAGGTGCAGGTCCAGGGAGAATCTGTGCGGCAACAGCACGTCCACCCTGAGCGTGCTGCCCGCGAATGGGCAGGAGAACGGGAACAATGGATCGGAAGTGATCCTGACGATGGCCAGACCAGCCACGGTGATCTCGAACGCCAGCACTGCCTCGAGTCCGGCGCCGAGCGAGAATAAACTGTCGAAAGAGGAAAGGTTCGAAAAATTGTGCTTAATTGTGACGAATTAAATTTCACTAACAAAATATTATATATAATTATATTATACATAAAAAATATATAACTAATTGAATAATTCATTTGATAACTTCTAATGATTTCTCTTTAGACTATCGCCGCGTGTCACGAAGCCGCTTCATCCAATCATGAAACAGCACAATAATCTAACGCCGATCAAAGACGTGAAAGCTCACAACGACGCGAACGTGGACTGTTGGAAGAATCAACATGCGGATTCCAACAGATCGACGAAGCAGCACCCCCAAGAATGGTCCGACGATAGGCTCATCGATGGATGCAACGCGAACGCGTAAGCATACATACGTTTAATCGAACATGCGACGTTGGACAATTAACGAGGACACTGTATCTTTCGCAGGAATCCCGTTTCGGACTTGCAGTCTCATCTATCCACTCTCGAGCTGAGAATGGCGAGGGAGACGCGTCTGCGCCTCTCGTTGGAGGACGAGGTGCGCCGATTACGCGACGAGAATCGACGTCTGCAGGATGAGAATCACGCAGCCGCGCAGCAACTCCGGCGTTTCACGGAGTGGTTCTTTCAAACGATGGAGCATCAATAATCAATATAATAATTCAGAATGTTCTGCCCGGTGATTGTTTCGTACGACGAACCCGGTAATCGATAAGCTATCTGACTCCCCGTCAGTATCTTAGTTGTTACAAATGATGAAAGCATGTCGTTGCCAACGTTCTTTAAATATGAATTAATTATCTTTATATTTGATCGTCGGATCGGTAGCATTTACTGCGATCGCGTTCCCTTTCCACGATCGCTCAAATCGGAGCACGATCTTTTGTAAGTACAGTATTAACGCGGCCTTCGCCTACACGTTTAGATGTTAGGACACATCGATCGGAAACAACTGCAGGCGATTGTGAGTGTGCGTGAACACCGCGAGCGAAAAATAATATAGTATCGTCCACAGCTCTTTCGACACTTTGTATTATATAGATTCGTTAGATTATTCTATTATAAAGTATAAGTTACCATCGTACCGTCTCCTGCACCCCAGGATTCGTACGTTGACAACAGAATTATCTATCTAGATCGTCCGACGTAGCAATTAGTCTGGATGTCCACCCGTACGGGGGCGATGCGCGTTGAACAACATCAAATGTTTGATTTTACAAAAGCGACCAAATGACCAAATATTACTAGCGAGCTAAGGACCGCTTTAACTCTGTAATTTATTACGCCTTTTATATTAATCTTCTACATAGATCGTTAGTGGAAACGTCGCACGCGCTAAAGCGGACGCCGACGCGAGAGCCGACGCGCTCTCTGCCAGGGGTTTCTCCTTTGTAACACGTGACGAAGCATAATTTCGACATGTTGTACGAAAGCGACGTTCCCCGAAGACCGTAAGAGTCAATAAATAAAGAGAAATGTGTACTTTACCGGTATTCTCATTCTTGAAAGGACCAGGTGTACTTTCCGCAGAGTACTTTCAGCATTTCAAGAGCGCCTCGCAGAATTGTAAAGCGTGAGGAGCGGGCAGGACAGGGATCGACTGAACAGTTACCACCGGCTAGAATAAAATAGTTTATTGTAATCCACAGAAAAAAACAAGACATTTCCATGATGCCTTAAGATCTGTCTGTCTCACTGTTCTGTCAGTTTAACAATTAGCTGCGATTACACTCCCTCCGGTTCGAGACCGCGCGAAAAACGCTCGCTCGCCGCCGTGTCGCGCGATACGCGGCAGCAGCGACAGTCCTTAATAATCGTTATCGCTGGACCTGTAGCCAGAATCCAGCCGAACTTACGAAGGATCGGATTATGCGATTTTTTTTTTAATATATCCTTACAAAGATAAGAGGCTACGGCTTTTCACTGCCGCGCGATATCGCGATTCCGGCGGCTCGCTACTGGCTGTGTTGCTGTCGTAAAAATGTCCTAATCCTTTCTAAATCGCACACGCTGGAAGATTAGCGCGGGGTTGCTGTTGCCCGGCGTCTTCTCCCTCGTTCTTCTCCCTCCTCGTGTTCACGACGGCCCTGTGAATCTCTCGGCCGTGGGCCGTCGATCTCGACGCGATTATCGTTATCGGTTGTAATCAGAGACAAGCAAAATATTACTCCATCCTTGCGAGCGTCACGTCCATCCTCCACTGTCTCACTGTCTATTATTTATGCGTTAAATGTGTTGTGTATCGATAATTAGCTCGTTTACTAATCTCTAGATCTATGTATACTGGCGCCCGAGGGGACGCCGCGATTACTGCGCTTTCTGAGAGGAAAGTTGATTATGCGAGAGAATATTTGACTGCCTATAATCAAAACACCGTGAAGTAATATTTCACGCAGCTCTGCGTGTAACGCTTACGTCACCGAGGCTCCTCGTCGGTTTTGTTCGCTTAAGTACATGAGAAGTTTATGCTTAGCAAGTGTAATTACTCGTAGAGATGTTTTTAAACACTCGGACTTAGTTTTACTCTAGAGTAGCGTTTTTTTTTCCTATATACTCTCTAATTAACACGCCCTCACGTGGAAGTACATCTCCATTACGAAGTCTTCTGGATGACTTATCGCGCTCGGACAAGTCTCTCGGTGGCGCGTTTTTACAGACGCGAGAGGTAATTCGACGGTGCAACGCTCGGGAGAGTATCCGCACGCGCGATAGCGTTCAGAGCAAACTATTTTCAATAAAAAAAAAACCCCCCGCCGCACACCGTCGTCCGCACGGGAGTTCAGATTCGTAATGGGGGTCCAATTCGTTGCAAGGAGCTCTTTGACCCGCCAAGTATCGCATACCGTCCGTCTGTCATGGAAATTAATGAAGTTGTAGAAGACGAGTCGGACAGACGAGACCTGTCTCCGGCAAGAACGCGAGTCTTTGAGATTTCCAATTGTATCCTCTCGCCGGTTTGAATCCGCGACAGTGCGAACTCCGAGGGATGTTCGGAGGGCGTTTACAAGGGATCGGGAGCGCCTTTGCAGCATCCCTCGGATATCCGTACCGTCCCCGCGCGGCCTCGCCGTGTCGTCGCGAGGCCCGAAGTGCCGATTTCTACGGAAAGCAACGCGAACGATTGGGGGCTTTTCTCGCTAATCGCGCGCGAGTTAAACTATACTGTCGCGTTTAAGGGATTTCGTTTCGCATTAGAGGCTCGGCGTGTGGAGCGTGCGCCAGTGTCAAGGAAACGAGAGAAACAAGCGGAATGAGAATTGCGCATGGCGAAAGGACTAATCGATCCTATAAAGCATTCATGAGGGAAACTAGCAGCGGCATGGCTAGCACGTGTCGTCGCGGTATGCAGCATGAATCATGCACGTTCAGCAAGCAGGCTTTATGGCACACAAAGATAAATAAATATACCGGATGGATGCGATCGACGGCCAGCGGCATTCGCGTAGAGAGACAAACTTGGAAGTACAATTCGGATCGTGGCGGATAAAGTCGTTCAGAAAACCGAGAAATTGCGCGCCGAGCGTTTATCGAGCAACTGAGAAAAAATTAATACCGCGTGGCGCATACATCTATTTCGTTTTAACATATGGTAACACATTGTACATATTCGCAGTTGGTTCAGTTTGCCGGCCATTTGCTTATTCGCATTACTTGTTCGGCTGTACGCAACAAAATTATAGCGGCCACGTCTTACGAGGGAATATTTCTTGGCGATAAAGTCTCAGCATTGTCTGACGCCAAGTGTCGTCTAATTAATATGCTAAAATATGCTGTGGCGTGTAAAATGATCTCACAGACAAGTCGATCGTTCCATCCCAACCTTCTTCACGATAAAAAGCGAGGCAACGTCGAGTGGTACTTAAAAAAAAGAGAGAGAGAGAGAGAGAAAAGGTATATGGCGAGTACTATTTTCTACCTACGGGGTTTTCTACTTTTTCTAAAGTACGGAATTGGGAGTTAGAGGGGCACGGATGAAAAAAGACGGAGATTAATCTATCGTGTACAGTTCGCGTTCTACGAGGTGTCCCGCCGTCATCCCGAGTCAAGCTTTAACAATGACACATTATCTCAACGAATTGGAAATGCCTAAGAGAGGCCTAAATCGCCCGATTAATCCAGATATGCCCGTCGCTCTTCTACAAAGTCGCCTTATTTCAAAGACATTAACAATATTTTCAGCTATATGCGGTTTTCTTGCATCTATCACGAGACACGGTAGTGTCTCGCGCGCGCTGCGAGTTGACAGGCCCTTGTAATCTACAGGAGCGAAAAATTCCCAAAATAAAAACGGGCACATCCGGGTTGATTGCAGGCAAGCCTAAAAATTATTTCTCAAAAATCGCGTGTCTCGACTCAATTCCGCTAATAGAGATCCATCTTAGGCTCGACGAGCGATCTCAACGTCGAAACTCGGGACGGGGGCGAGACACCCTGTGCGCAAGAGCGGCAATTCCGAGCAATCGTTTGCGAACGAAGGCGAGAGGACTGGCAGCATGGGAACGATGAATCCCATCCACGCCGCTTCGTCGTTTCTCCGAGTTTCTCAAAGTCGCCATTCGTCTCACCCGCACGCAAAATCTGCCTGGTACGCGCGATTGACGATCGCGCACCCCCGGGCACGAGTGACCCGGGCGAAAGTCTAATGGGGGGGAAAAAGGTGTGTAATGCTTCACGATAAGTCCGCCAATTAACGTGGCCGTCGTCCCGGCGATTGTTACATTGTTCTGTTTCCCTACGCTCGCAGACATCACCGATAATACGTCGATCGGAGGGCGCGTCCTCCTTTAAAATACAAAAATACTGTTCTGATGCACCATATCTTCACCTACTATCCCTACCATTATGCACATTATAATCCCTGTAGTCTTTAAACGCTCCGTTATCGTGGACGAAGAAAAAATACTGAACAGGAGGTGTGTGTGTGTGTGTGTGTGTGTTGTGTGTGTGACAAGAAAAAAAGAGAGTTTTCGAATGTACCGAATTTCGACCCGCGTGATCCCGAAGGCTCGTCTCGTTTCCGGATGAGGCGTTCGTTTCTGAGAGTCGTAATCCTCGCTCTCCTCCGTTGCGAAAAACCGGTCGGTTGCGACTAATTCGGAGCAACGATTGTACGTGTAGGTTACACATGGATAAATGTGGAATATATTACAAAGGGTACGTATGTACACGGGACTGTATACGATCGGAAAGATGATTGCTTCAAGAAGTCTCTTTCCAGGGTGTCCAGTAAACTCAATGAAAATCATTCCCTGACTTTTTCAGGTTTTCCAGGAGCCGGAATGAATTTTTTCCTGACCGTTTAGTGTAACTCTTTTCAAGATGCATAATTTGCGTCTGTACGGCAAATCAAATAAATGTTAAATGACGAAGTCCTCGAAATGTTTTTCTCGGGAAACAAAAGTTCGGAATTTAAAAAGGTAAAAATTTAAATTAAAGCAACTATACCATCTATGTATAATACATTGCGTAATAGGAACGAACATATCATTACAAAACATTCAAACCATTTGTGATAACGTACATAGTCATATATGATGCTTTCGTTTTGTACAACTGCATTTTGTTTGCAACTTATTAGATAGTAACTTACTTAGATAGTACTGTTTAGTATTTTTTTTTAGTTTTGTCTCAGTTGAACACATTGAAATAAAATAACACAACGATGAAAATATAAAATACCTACTACGCTTATAAATAGATGTTTAGCAAAACAGAAAATTAGTGTACTAAAGCCTAAAAAAAGTTTATTTTCTAAAAACTTTAAACTATTCAGAAATAATGTGAAACGATGTAAAAAAATCAGACAAATCGTTTCCCTGACTTTTCCATAACATTTCCAGACTTCTAAACTTCCCTGACAATTCCTGGCTCTCCAAATTTCCCTGACCACTGGACACCCTGCTCCCTAACAGCAGATGTAGATTCTGAGAATATTTGAAAGATATTTACCGCAAAGTACAAGATATCACAAGGATGTTCCCGACATATTAGAATATCCTTGATATATTCTACATATTACTCGAATGATATTGCTGTTAGGGCTGAGAGCTGCCGCGAATATTTCTAAGCGGGCGATTATCAATGATTATTTAATTCTGAGTAACGGGGTGCCATTTTGCAACTCGAGTCCTTTAAGAGAAATCACTGCTCGGATTTAGGCGAACCGGACTGTCGGTGAAACTCAGCCTGAGCGCCAAGAGACGGTATGATCGCGCACGACGGTACATATCGAGAGAAGACAACGCTAACAGCGAATACCAAATTCATATCAAAATAGAGAGAGAGAGGCGGTAAGAAAAATTCAAGACAAAGACGATCGTCAATGTAACAACGTCGTTCTTTCCGCAGAAGAGTCTTGTGTGAATTTTGGTACGCGCGCGCCACAGGCGACGGACTGTCATTGCGATATCGGTATTCCATGTTCCTTGATTAAAGTTAATACTACGGTCGTTTAATTAGTTTCATAGTCGCGACACGGCGTTCGCGGAATCGTATCGCGTATCGCTCATTATTAACTACGGTTATTAAATCGTATAATTATATTTATATATATACTTTGTTTTATATATATAATATAATATAGTATATATATATATTCAGCATCACAGTAAGATAGCGCCCTTCATTATTAAGTTATCGTCGATTAGCTCGGACATTATATTTTCATTCCTGTTCAACAACATACTCTACAACAATCCGCTTTAAACATCGTCAAAGAATCCCGGCCGCGTCCGGCATGCGAATGCAGCGAGTTTTACGTACTACGGACAGGTGACGGGTTATCGACCACCTGCGAAAGTCGGGAGAGAAAGTATTAATTAAAAACAAATATCATAGGGTGAATCGTAGAGCCGCGTCTGATTGAAGTCGATTACTAGCTGGAGAAGCATGACTACTGGTTCTGCGCGTGGGTCGACGATTAACTAAACATGATCATAGTCACAACGTGCGATTGCAAGGGTCGCCATTCTGTTCTTTTCGCGACGGATTAAAAAGGATATGAGAGACAAAACGAATACGAATCCCTGGAGCGCGCGAATGAAAGCGCAGCGGACAGTCCACAGGTCTCATCGCCGGACAGGTAAACGCGCGTTCCTGTATTAAGGGCTTATCCTTCCTTTGAAAATTTGGAAAAGTCGAAAAATGTTTCTCGCTTCGTAAAATAGTTTGGAGTCTTAGAATTAATGTGCAAAAGATGTCAAATAAAATCAAAATGTCCGTCAAATTATAAAATTTAAAATGCGATTTTCTCGAAAAACGTGTTTAAAATTTATATGCTTTTGAAACGGCGTACGTAATATTTTTGGCTGCAATTGACGGGTTGCCTTGAAATAATAAACCTACTTCTAATAAACTGTCCAGCATGAAGCAATTCGTATTTTCGCATTCCAGGCCCAACAAAATGTACAAGAAAACTTTTCAGGCTGGTCAAAGTAGGATAATCCCTTAAAACGGACGTGAGATTACGCACGACTGATAGAGCAAACGACACGCGATTTGCGACAACAACGCTAAAGCGCGCTTTCATTCTTTTTCGCAATAAAACGTGATATATCATCTCTCGCACTCAGATGGGTCAAGATTTAAAAAATCAGGACGAACTGCCTAACGTTCATTCCGCCCCTATTCGAGAAACAGTAAAATAGAGAAGTCTTACGAATACAGACACTTAGAATTATCCCGAAAATAAATAATTATAAAAATAAGCGAGAATTTGATGCTTATAAAATATCTTAAGGTAAGAACTTAATTAATTTGCACCACATGCGGAGTGGAATGTGTTTCCCTTACTAGATCATAGAAGCGTAATTCTAACAGAAGTTCAACTATCAAGTGTAAAAAACATTAACGGCAACTTGTCAATTGTAATTATCAATAGTGCAATAGCTCAAATAGAAAAAACGTGAATCAATAAATAAGAGTGCAACAAGAGATTATATACGTATGACAAAGTGACGGTCGCCGTGCGCGTTCGTCGGCGGTACCGTCGGCAAATTGTATAATTCGTAGAATAAATAACTGTGCTCCAAAAAAGATCGGTCTGACCCGCGGAGACAGATTAGGTACAATATTCGATTCTTTTTCCACTCTTTCCGCCCCATTTATACCGCAAGTCACAGCTCTATATACGCACTGTGGAAGAATCAAGAGAGATATTTACAGAGACAAAAATACTCGAGTCACACACGAGTTGACGATCAGCGAGACAACGGGAGAGCAACTCCGTCTATTAACTTAAAAAGTGGGGAAAACTTTTTTGTACTTTTCTACAAATTTTCTCTCCATACCTACTTTATACTCTATATGTACTAACGGCGATATATCCCCGACGGTAACGTAAACGTTGTCTCGCAAGGACCCGCGGCGTCGTTGCAAAACGAGAGGAGCACCGTGGAGGGCTTGATTCAAATCAAACGGCACGAAATTCATCACGACGCTCTCGAGTTGAGATTCCGGAGGAGTTTAACCGAGAATCCGCGCCCCGGCGGAAGTCGACCAGGAGCGAGGACCGGTATACCTTAATGACTTGTTTGCGCAGGCCGTGCCGGGATGGCCGGCCGTTCGCGTCTCGCGTCTCCGCTCGCAAGAGCGGAGAGTTAATCTCGAGAAGTGTGCTGGCACTTTCAATACTTCACTATACCGAAACGTCGGTCGAAGATCTTATACTATTCCCGACGCGTCCTCTTTGGACGCTGACTGACTCCCACGTCGTCGCTGCCGCGCGATTTCTTACCGATTTGTACCTGGCTTTGCGCCGTGAGCTGCAGCGAGATCGCATGGGTGTTGAGCTTCTCCGCGAGCAGCAGATCCTTGAGGCCCTTCATCTTCTGGCTGTAGAGCGTTATCCTCGGCCTCTCGTTCTCGGAGTCAGTCTGCACTCTAGGCTCGACCTTCTCCTGGGAGGTGGAGGGCGCCGGCGGTAGAGCGTCGTCCGGCGGTGCGACGAACGGCTCGCCGCCGCCCTGTAGCAGGTAATCTCTATTAAGTATCTTCTCGCTGCAGGCCGCCGTCAGAGCTTGAATGCTAGGATGCGTTGACGCTGAATTGGTGGGCACTTTCGACTCTAGGCTCTTGATCAGATCGCGCGCCGCATTTCCTCTCTCCTTGGTCTTACAGTAATTGTTGTTATTGTTGTTCAAGGTCTCCTCGGGACTCGTCTCCCTCTTCTGCGCCGTTTCCTCCTTCTGCTTCACCTCCGTTTCATAACACTCTATGACGACCTGGGCGCGTATACTGGCGTCAAATTTTGAGATAGTGTTCACCAGCGGACGGGCCCAACCTATATGCAGCACAGGAGTGTTGGCGCCCTCCTCCCACTGACAAATACCGTCGTAAAATCTCAGCAGGTACGCGAAGCAACGTGGCTGCCGTAATAAACGCTCGTCGACGCGTACCGCGTGTGGTATCAGTTCGTTGGCGATCTCCAGCAATTCCTTGTATATCTCCCCGTCGTCCCGCGAATAATCGTATCTGTCGCGCATACAATTCTGTTACTCACCGCCCAACGAAACCGCATATCGGCCGTTTAACATATTCATTGCCGCTGCCACAAAGGTGGCGCGGTTTCAGCGAACGCATTAAGAGCGCGTAAAAAAAAGGACCATAAAAAAGAATTACGCGTCAGATACTTACTTCCGCAAAACATCCGCGGCGTCGGCCCACGACGCGAGCGCGTTGACGTGTAATTCGTGCCGGTACAGGTATCCACCTTGATAGGTGTAAGGATAAACGTGAGCGTTTCCATAGTATTTCCTTGCTGACCTCACGGCTTCCTACAAAAAAAAGATATTCAGAGTAGCGGATTGCGCGAGTCGACAGTCTTGCTGTTGTAACACTTTAGGCTGGCAAACCTGAAAGAGGTCTATAGGTGGTGGTCTGCCGGGTGTAGGCGCAGCCTCTTCCAACTCGGCCAGATTACCGAGCGCCATAGGGTACTTGGCTAGGTGGCCCAGGTCGTACAGCAGCCACAGCAGCTCCTGCTGGAGCAACGCCACTTCGGCCGCGTCGGTAGTCGCATTCAGACTAGGATTTATAGCCGACACTATGGTAGCCACTTCTAGAGCGCGACTACACACCATCGCTTGGCCGTTTAAATACAACCACGACCGAGACGCCACACCAGGCTCCACGCGTTGCCCGCGTTTATCCTCGTTCCCCTTACCTGGTAATAAATTGCAATTAGCTGGCGATTTTCACAGCCTCTCGTAGAATGTAATGAAAGATTGGAGCAATTGGCAGTTGGGTAAGTCGAGAAACAGATCTGGGTCCAATCTCCGGTACTCACACGAAGACGTTATGTCAATAACGAAGAGACAAATCTCGAAAACCTCAGGTTAAAGTTCTGTGAGATTTTTCCCCGATCATTAGCAGCCAAAGGACAAGTATACAAAAGCCACCCCAGACGGTCCAAGAGGACAAACAGCACGTACCATGCCATGTAACCTCCGCGGTCTCCGTGCCGTCCTCCCCGTACACGACCCACGCATGATCCTCCGACATGGCCAGGTGCACATCCTTGAATCCCAGCACCTGACAGCCGGCGACCACGGCGAAGGCGACTCCGTAGCAGTCGAGCTTGTTCGCCGTCAGGTAACTGTAGAGGCTCTGCAGGTGCGCCCTGTCCTTGTAGTAGCTCCTGGTGAGGGAGTTCCATATCACGTCCGACACCTTCTTGACCAGCTCCCTGGTGGCGTACTTGGTGTCGTACACCGTGAGGTCGACGGCGCCCTTGATGATCGCCTGGAACTGGGTGTACAGCGTCTCGGCGATGTGGTACTCGACGGGCGGCAGCTTGGGCTCGTCGTAGGCGGCGCTCTCCTGCGGGGTGAAGACGCGGTTGCACGTGAGGGAGTTCTCGACCGCGCCGATGAGGATCGAGAGCAGCGCGAGGTCCGGCTCGGCGCTGTTCTCCAGCTGATTCTTGAAGATCTGGACGATCGCGGAGATGCTCCGGATCGGGAACAGGGCCCTGTCCCTGTCATGAAAGCCCGCCATGTCGCACGGGGGCCCCGTCGAACTTGAGAGGTTGGACACCACGCACGTAACGACGTCGGTTGGCAGCGGCGGCTGCGGCTGCGGCGGCGGCGGCAGCGGCGGCGGCAGTGGCGACGGCCGATCTACGACGCCCGTCGCGCCAGGCCCGTCGTCATACTGCCGTGCGACCTTTCGGCGCGCGGCTCCTCTGACAGAAACCACGCACGGGAGACTCGCGACGTCGCGTCGGGCCCGCCGACTCGTGCCGTCCGGCCAACGCGCGCGCGTTCGCTCCGCTCCGCTAGTGGAAAACGTTACCCGGCGTTGCGCGGCACCTCACGCACCACCGCACGACGAAACCCGCCAGCGACCGCTCTCCTTCTCCTCCTCCTCCTCCTCCTTCTCCGCCTCGCACCGCCCGCTCACGCTGCTGGCGACGCGCTCTACGGTGCCCCGTGCCGTCCCCGTGCCTCCTGTTCCCGTCCTGTGCCGTGCCGTGCCGTCCAGCGGCGCCGCGCTGCTCCTCCGCTCCGGAGTGTAGGACTCGCAGAAGCCGCGTTTCCATTCGACCGCCCACCGTCGCGCCGCGCCGCGGCCGCGGGCCGAAGCCGCCCGGCGCGCTCTCGCTCTCCCGCGCGCGCGGCCCAGGCGCGCGGTGTGCGACTTTCGACGCGCAATAGACGCGGAAAATATGCGTATATATGCGCGCGGGCCAATCAACCTGCCGCTTTTTCGGAAATAATAGATACGCCACGGGCGGCAGGGGGGAAAAGATTGATTAGCGCGTCGCGGAGCGCGCGTTCCGCGTCACGCGCGTCGCTGCCGTCACGCCAATTATTTCCAGCGTAACGAGCGACGACGAGCACCCGAGCCGCAGCTTTCGCCGCTGCGAAGCGAAAAACGACGGCGATAGAATTTTCGGCCCCCTCGGTCCCCGCGAGAGCGCTGGAAAAGGCATCGTCGATCGAGGCACCTTGCATCCGTCGTGCAGGATAAAGCCGGATCTACAATGTGCTTTCCAGAAACATTCTATTTTATATAAACGGTTCGAAACGCTTAAAGTTTGTCAACAATGTACGATTGTACAATGTCTCAGATAACATGCATGTCTAAAAGACATCTTTAAGACGTCTTTAACACGTCTTTTAGACATCTTTTAGACATACACGTCTAAGCGCGGGTCTACAATAGGTGTAGTAAGCCTTAAGCTGTAAGAAATTGACCAATCACAGTCTGAAGTGAGGAGAATAATCGCTTGTAATTGATCAATTTCTTACGACTTAAAGCCCGTATCAGACTACGGATTGAGATTGGGATTAGATTGAAATTTGACCAATCAGAGTAAAAGTTTCTGAACTTAAGATTAGTAAACTTTACTGTGATTGGTTAAATTTCAATCTAATCCCAATCCCCATCCGTAGTCTGATACGGGCTTAAAAGTTACTGAACCTGAGATTAATAAACTTTACTGTGATTGGTTAAATTTCAATCTAATCCCAATCCCAATCCGTAGTCTGATACGGGCTTTAAGCATCCCCTTAAGACAGGTCTAAAAGTCGTCGAAAATCGGGACATAAGACGTCTTAAAGATGTCAAAATACTTTTTCTTGCAAACGATTTGCTGTCGCACCTACTAGACACAATAGCAAAATATTAGCTGTCACAGCCAAATATTAGCTGCACATATTTTACAACTGAAATTTAGTTACTTGCAGTTTTTTAGCTACGGTAGCTACATGTCTTTTTCGTGTATTGATTTCATCGTTAATTTATTGCCCTTGAAGCAAAATCCGTTTAATGGAAAATTCATTGGTAGATCGTATTCGTATAATCGCTGTGAATAAAGATTTGTGATTAAATTTTGACGTTGAAAACCTGCTATCTCATATTAGAAGCCTATCTCATAATAGAGGACTTTCCTCTGTACATCTCGAGCAACGTTCTCTTACAAATTGTAGTTCTTTACGTATTCATTAATTTTTCAGAGTCCTTCGGGCGATCTGTTCGCGTCCGAGACACAGGCTGCGATCGAGCTGCCGCTACAAATGCTTCGAAGCGTTTCGCCTCTCCTTTCATCTTCATCGAAGGGAAGGAAAAGAAGAACACTTGGTAACATTTATAGCGGCAGTTTGACCGCAGCCACAGCATATTCTATTAATAATTTCACGCGCTGCGCGTCCTTCGATACGCGCGCCGTGCATCTCGAAACGTGTAACACCGTAAATACGTGCACATTTCCCGAAAATATTTTTCGCATTGTGCAACGCGCCAAAATTATAAATAGAATCCCTATCTCGCGGGCCGGCGCGAATCGTCTGAAGTGAGCTCTCCGCGCGGGAGTCGCACGACTCGCACGGTCGAACATCGCGATTTGAATATCCCAAGATGGCGCCGCCCTGTTGACTCGCCTCGCGTTCCTCGTGTCGCGCGCAGGCGGTCGGTCGTTCCGCCGTGATACAGAGACCCGCGTTCTCTTCCGAGCGTATTCTCGCCCGGGACCACGTTGGCAAGCTCGCGGAGAAGTCGCCCCGGTCGCGTTTACCGCCCAGGAGCCTCGACCTCGACCTCGACATGAAGGTAACGATAAAAAGTAAGTAACCACGGCGGCGAGAACCTCGCTGCCGTCCGTTCCGTCGTACGCGCGCAGTTCCGCGCGCTCGGTGCGCGCGACGCGCGTCCAGGACTCTGGGATTTCGTGGTTATGTCACGATGCATAATAAACGCGCACCTCCCTCGGCCGCGGAGGCGTCGCGCACGTAGACCCAACGTCACGCTCGTTTCTCGCTTCAGGTTGGACGGGCGTCGCCACCTGGCGGTGGATCGCCAACGACGACAACTGCGGCATATGCCGGATGCCGTTCGACGCCAGCTGTCCCGATTGCAAGATCCCCGGAGACGACTGTCCGCTAGGTATATACTCGAGATACGTATTCTGCTCCCGCGATGCTCCGCCGAGAAACGCTCCTGGTGTCTCCACGTTTTCTCGACGCGTATCAAATCATCCGTTTGTGAGACGGGAGATTTACCGCGAACAAGTATCAGAAATGAGCTCTTCGGGTAGAAACGCATTTATGTCCGCGCTCCTGTTGTCTAATCTTCTTCGCGTTACCTTAGAAACGACAAGTTTTGAGAAGGGAAAAATTAAGTGGGAAAACTTGAAGGTTGCAAAAGCTAGAGGCGACGAATTTACGCGGTTGAAGATTTCGCCTCAAAACTAATCTTTTTCCTAAAAAAATAGGGGGGGTGAAAAGAAGACGCTAAATATAAGCGCCATCCAATCAAGAATTATATAATTCAATTATCCGGATACATTTTGTTAGAGCAAAGAACTGTTATCTTCCCTACAAAAGTAGTGTACGCGGTTGAAAATTTCGCTGGAAGCAAAAGTCCCGCCGGTCGAATTAACCAACAGTAGATTAACCGCTAAACTGCACTGTACGGCGATTAATAATAGAAAATTCTTCCGCGCGATTAAAGCACGCACAAAGACAGACAGTCGGACTTTATATTAAAAAAAAAACCCCCCGAAGAGAGAAATAAAACGTATCGCTTCACAAGTGATTTGAGATTAGCCAATCTACCGAATTCCAACTCGGATCGGCCAACTGGGATTCCCGTCTAACAAACGAATTGAAATACTTGTCTCTTCAACGAGTCAAAAGGTTATACAAAACGAATTCGCGTCGGCGGCAACGGCGGCCGACTCGTAAAATGCCGCCGCGGCGAGGCGGCCGCGTCCGCGGCGGCGCGCGACAATCGATCGACGCCGCGGGGCCGGACGAGCCGCGGCTGGCAGGCGCCGTGTCCCTCAACCCTCGGCGCCCTGGGCACCCCCGGTATCGATGCACACGCACGCACGTCCTGCCCGCCCCCACCCCACGCCCGCCGCCAGCCAGATGCGCCCTGGCGGACGTCCGCCGCGCCGGCCGCATCCCTCGCCCTCGCCCTCGCCCCGAGCGGAACGCCTTGAACGAAATTAATTTAACGCTCGCCTTCCAGTGTGGGGGCAGTGCTCGCATTGTTTCCACATACACTGCATCATGAAGTGGCTGCACTCGCAGCAGACCAACCACATGTGCCCGATGTGCCGCCAGGAGTGGAAGTTCAAGGAGTAACCGCCGCCGCTTGTCCCGCGGGCCCGCAGGTGTCAGCACGCAGCGAGTGATCAGGTAAAACGACGGCGTGATCCTTCGGCCCTACCGCCGGCGAGCGACGGCGACGTCCGTCCCCCCTCTGAGGAAACCGTAAATCGCGGACTGGCAGCGCTTTAGGAAGTAGACACCTTCTGTCTACGTACACCTCCGGAAAGCTATTCTAGAGATGCATGTAACGCGAGTCTCTTTCGCCTAGACCTTGCGCCAGACTCGAATTTTCGAGCCTTAAGGCCTGTGTCCACGATGCTAGAACTTGGACCAAGTTCTAGCATCGTAGACACAGGCCTTAAAGCCTGTTGAGAAAAGCCGCCGAAATGAAAGAATGGTCGAGCGGATAGCGATATACTTGATAGCGTGTCTTCATTTATTCACAGCGCGTGTTTCCCGAACCGACTCGTCGTGTCTAGCGTGCCACTTGCTGTAAGACGTGTAACGAGATTAACGCGAATCCCGTACGAACGACTTGTACGTTTTCCAACGAGGGATGTCCGCGCCGCTAAATTTAGAAGCTTATCTAGAGTCGCCCATCCGCGGACGATTAAAGCCCGCCTGCCGCACGACAACCCGCCGTGCAGTCTCGTGCGCGGTCGCCTCTCGCGAATGTCATCCCAAAATCTTTGCGCCCAGCTCCGAATTACACTCGGGAGTTCGCGCTTCGCCGGCGCGTGCAATTTATTATTTTTTCGCACGTAAACTGCACGCCTGCGGACGCGTGTCCCGCAGAAGAGTTGTACAGCAGACGCGTGGAGGTGTGTGCGAATCGATGAACTTTTACATCAAATCGAATTTCGTTTCCTTCTTCGAGCCCGAATCGACAACCGCGTCGACAGAATTTCATTTGTAATCGAAGCGTAATTTTTAATTAACGATATAATTCTTAGTTTGAATTTTAGCGCGTATAGATAATGAGAGAATATTTTAATGCGAAGTCTTCGATTATTTAGTGTAAAACTGATAAAATGTAAAAAAAATATCAAGGACGAAAGGCCAATAATATTACGAGCGGCAATTTTTACAATAAGACAATAAAGTTACAAATTACGGTGTTTCCCTAATCTGACTGATACTAGTAACAATTGTGATAACGCATTTACTTAAATCTAAGTTTGGTAGAAGATAAATAACGTACGTTTCGACGTTTACTTAGTCATCTTCAGCGTGTTTTTTTTTCTTTTCCTTATAAACCGTCTTCGAGGCTCCTTTTCCAAGTATAATCCAATAATCATTGGTGGCAATTCTATTATGTTACACCATATTACACATTGGTAAGTGTGGATAGTTTGACATCACTTATTGCAAGGTTTTCTTCTAATAGGATAATCTTGATTATTAGAGATGGAGCAGGATAGTCTAACGGAGCTCAGATCTCTCCTTTGTCACATGTTAAAACTGACTAATAAAATATACTTGAATGTCGCGATAACTAAACCAAAGACGAGAAATTGTAGATAATTTATTAAAATATTTTAACGTGGTTATCCGGTTATATACATATTGATTAAGATAAAATAATATATTCGACACCTTATCCACTTGGGTTAATATCGAACATGACGCAGCAATTTATATTCAAATCATTTCACGGTTTTCTAATTTTTGTAATTTTTCCACATCGCAGGTTATAATGCGACCTAGATTTAAGTTTTATGTGCCGAAGAGGACAGTATAGCGTCGAAACGCGTACAATTGTGTCTTTAATCGTGATCGACATTGTCGAATAAATTATTGTTAATCCTTTAACATTTTTACATCTTATTCCTGCTCGTATATTATATTGGCCGTAAACTTTGAAACTTTTGTTTATTACTAAAAAAACGAGCGTGACTATTTCTCCTAATTAAAATATTATACTCTCTGAATGTGAAGATAACTAATCACATTTCATTGCCGCTTAATGAGTATGTACTGCGGCTGCAGTACTGTGTTGCCCATCGAAAAAATGTTATTTTACAAAATTGACAATATACACATATAATGATTTGTATTCAAGCCGCCAAGATTCGAAATTCCCGAATAGTTTAGACCCGAATCTCACTTGGTTCGCTTCGTATTCGAACGGTTCGCAACGTGCGGTGTTGTCTATCGAATTTGATCGATCGAGCCTTCGTTATCAGCGAAAATTCGTCTCTTGACCAAGCGTCCCGATCTCGCGCTCTCCGAGACGGAGAGAAAAAGAGAGAGAGAGAGAGAGAGAAAGAGAGAGAGAGGGAAAGAGAGGACGTTTCCGGTTCAAAGGGTTAAACTCGTGGCGTGTGACCGCGAATCAACCTCTCTATATCTATCTCTCTCCCTCCCCTCTCTCTCTGCTCTCCTTTCCTCTCCTCTCCTCTCCTGTCTGTTATCTGCCCGCCTCTGTTCGTTGACGCCGTCGGCTCGTTGAATTATTAATAAGCCGTTGTATCCGACGAGATACGCGCCGTCAGTGTCCCGCGCGTGTTGCGGAACGTAACGTAATCGTCGCCGCGCCGCATAATCCATTCTCCCGGGCCGACGCGCGGCCGCACCGCGTTGGCGAGCGCGGGGGATAGGCTCTCCTCTTGTTCTCTCCTCCCGCTTTAATCGCGGGAACCCGGCGAGTCTGCCGCGATGTAATCTGCACGCGAGGAGGACTCCGACTTTAATGGAGAACGCGGAGCGCGGAGTCGAGGAGAGCCGCCGGATCGACGGCGTTGCGTTTCCAACGCGGTGGCCTCCCAAGCCCGCCGGTTTTCGCGAGTCAATTTGACGTGCGCGTCGGCCGCGGGGGGGGGGGGGGGCTGTGAATTATTTATGATTGCGAGAAGGTGGAAAGCCGCTCTCGCGGGGCTCTGCTCCTTTCCCGCGGCGGCCGTGGTCGAAGTGCAGAGTACAAAAATAGCGCGCGAGTCATGTTTGATGCCGAGAAAAGTATGAATCAGCAGGCAATCGAGGAGTGACTGTCAGGCGCCAGCTCGATATCCAACGTGAGTTTGAGGGAAATCATCGTCAAAAGTATCGTGTTAAAACCAAAAACACTATCGATGGGATTCATTAAGAAGGGACGTGCTAGACCGCAGGAGGATCGCGTGTCGCGCTTTTAATACGTAAAAGACATCCGTTGTATGACTCTGTTGTGAGACCGAGTTAGCAAATGCAGCTCGTAGACAGACCCGCGCCTGACATTGGCATTCGAAATCCGCGTCCCGATCGCGCGCCCCGCGAAACCCCGTGACCCAGTAATCGAATTTTGTTTTGACGGCCGCGCCGCGGTTGCGCGGCGGCGGCCGCGCGGGAACGTCTTCGAGGGACAGTCGCAGATGTACGACCACGGTCCGATTTCGACCGGTCTCTAGGAGCCGGCCGGACTGCGCGGCGCGGTGGGGCCGATTTGCATTTTATCGGCGGGAGATCGCGGCGGCCGCAAAAGTGGAACGAGTCGTTTTTGCCTGAGCCAGAGCGAAACAGAGTGTGAATAAATTCCGCGGGGCCCGTGTTTTCCCAGCCAGCCAGTCGGCCCGGCCGGGCCGGCCGTGCCACTTCCTCGGGTGCCGCTTAATTGCGCCGTGAATGGGCGGGCGATCGCGCGCCGATAACGCGTATCATCGCCGCGCGGTTACTTCATTTCGCGGAGTACGCGAGTCACCGCAGGATATCGCTGATATCTTATCTCCGCGCGGCCGCTTCGCTCCGGCGACAGAAGACGCTCGCGAGACGTCCGAGGTACGCCGTCGGGCGATTCCAGAAGCGCGACTTGCCCTCGAACGATTATGTCTGCGCAGTAGCGATTTGGAAAAACTCGGTTTTGTAATCTCGCAAAATCGCGTCAGGGTCGAGGTAGACTCGAGCGTGCGGCACTTAAAGAGACCTGGAGGAGAGAAATCGCTTCGTTAAGACGAATTGCGCGAGTTAAGAGTAATCACGCCTCCCCTGGAATGCTCTTCCCGCAATCTTCGAAATGTAGGAGAGGAGAAAGAAAACGCGAGGGGGAGTCAGGATGTCGCGCAAGCTACGGCACTGGCGAACGGACCTCCGTGCCATTGCGGAGGGCAGCGAGACGGAGGGGACCTAATGGGTCCCTTCCCTTTTCTCCGTCTCGCTCCGGCCGCCTCTTCCTTCGATAATCCTTTCCTCTCTCTTCCCTCCTCCGTCCCGTTCTTCTCGTCCGCTACGGGTTACTCTCTCACGCGATACTACGGCGATACCACCGGTCGCGGTGTACACCTACACCCAACACTAGAGGTAGACGGACCCCGAGATAGTTGACTCCAGGTTGACTCGTTTCACAATAGACTCCTAGTCCTTTAATTCGAGCCTCCGAGTCTTTTTAATTCGCGACTTCCACTCCTTTTAACTCGCAACTCCTAGTCCTTTTAATTCGTGACTCCCAGTCCTTTTAACTCGCAATTCCTAGTCCTTTTAATTTGCGACTTCCACTTCTTTTAACTTGCAATTCCTAATCCCCTTAATTCGTGACCCCCCAGTTCTTTTCATTTGCGACTTCCACTTCTTTTAACTCACAATTCGTACTTTTAATTCGTGACTCCCGGCCCTTTTAACTCGCAATTCCTAGCCCTTTTAATTCGTTACTCCCAGTTTTTTAACTCACAATTCCTAGTCCTTTTAATTCGCGACTCACAGTCTTTCTAACTCGCAATTCCTATATAGTCCTTTTAATTCGTGACTCCCGGCCCTTTTAACTCGCAATTCCTAGCCCTTTTAATTCGTTACTCCCAGTTTTTAACTCGCAATTCCTAGTCCTTTTAATTCGCGACTCACAGTCTTTCTAACTCGCAATTCCTAGTCCTTTTAATTCGTGACTCCCAGCCCTTTAACCTCGCAATTCCTAGTCCTTTTACTTCGTGACTGTCGGTCCTTTTATTTCGTGACTCTCAGTTCTTTTAATTCGTGACTCCCAGTCCTCACCTTTCCTTTAATTCATGCCGATCGTATCAAAGAGATTCCTTCGCGTCCCAGTGGCTTTTCGTCGCATTTCTGCGAGATCGTTACGTCATGTTTTATGCGTACTCTTTATTTCGCGTTAATCTCTTTTGTCAGAATTTGTAACGTCTCTCCGTGCTCCGGCGAAGCACAGAAACCGATATGATCGATAAGGCTTTTATGCCTCACGAACTCTAGAAAGTCCACATTTATCGCCGATCGCCGTTGCGTTCGCGTTGATGCGAATAATGCGAACATTTCGAAATAAACGCACATTCGCGGGTAATTAACTGCTACACCTGCGGTGGATATATATGACGTAAAGAAACGAAACGATATGTGACGGGTACCGTGAAGTTGTAGCTCGAACCTCGTAACTTTATGAAATCACGGCGAAATCGGCTTACATAAACTTGAACAATCTCGGGCAAATGCGTGTATATGTAATTAGGACGCGCTGTATTACGCGTCTTGGCGCATAATTGAATTCATTCGAGCGAAACCTGTGAGAAAATGCTTCCCCATCGACGATATAACACGAGGATTAAATATAATCGTAATTTCAGATATCCCAGCGGCTACGTTAAAACTGCACGCTTATTGGCATCAAAAGTTACATCGATTATCGATTTAACTACGTGGATTTACTGTTCCAACAAAAAGCTGCGTTTCACGGCAAGTAATTGGCGCTCAGTTTGCTAATTGCGAGTCGAAAAAGAGTATCGCAAGATTCACGCAAGAAATATTGTCATTGGGCTACCAGGATCCGACCGAAATCGGCAACTTCCTCGGTCGATTGTAAATTAAGTCTCCCTGTGACATTAATTATCGATATATTCCGAGCGATCGGGGCTTGAACGACCGTCCAGAGAGACCGTAGTGCGCCGTGAAAATATCACGGAAAGACGGCAATCCCGAGAAGAAACCTCAGTCTTAACGACGCTAGAAAGTGTGACCGCGACTTTCCGCAAAGTTTAGAACGGCAACCAGCTCTTTCCCCCCCGAGATCTGCCGATTTTACGTAACGCGCCGCGCGATCCGAGTGTTTTTCCTATCAGGCCGAGAACTCGCACATCATCATGATCAGCAGTGCTGAGATCGCCACGAGACCGCGGCGGTGGTGAACCTTCACCATCGCCGTCAACCGCGGGTCCTCTTTGCATTCGCATCTAGCTCTGGCTCCCTTCTGCGCCTTCCGCGCACGCATACACACGCTAAGGCACGCTCGCTCATTCGTCTTATACTCGCTCGCTCATTCCTCCACTCGCTCGCTCAGGCACGCATACATAGGCGCGCGAGGCGCACACTCGTTGACTACCTGACGAGAACTCGAGCTCGGCCAGTCACGTGGCCAGCGATCGCAAAGGATGTTTGTGGGACCGCAAAGTCAGTCCGCGGCGGTCGGTCCGCCGAGAAAGAGAGGATAGAGGCGCGATCGGGGTTGAGGAGAAGGAGGGAGAGGTCGGGACGGAGGAGGAAATACTGGATCGGGGATATCGCCTGGGGTCTCGGGATCGTCGCTGCTCTAGCTCTACCTGTCCGAAGGCATTCGGCGTGCGATCCTTCCTCGCGGCTCGCCGCGGAGTCGACGGGTTTTGCGAGTGTTCGCCGCGATTGGTTTCCATCGCCGCGGTAGCGGGAGAGAAGTCTCGACCGGGTCGGGACGAGCGGAGGAGATCCTCCCGGCATCGTCCATGCGACAGTGACGCAGGAATTGTACTGGTGGTTCAATTGTGGCCGAGGGATTCGGCGGCGATTTGTTTGTTCCGCTAGAAAGTGTGGGTCGTGCGCGCATTGCGTGGTGCACCGAAACGTGAAAGACGCGACGTGACGTCAAGCGAGACTCGGAAGTGACTGTTGAAGACGCGAGTGACGCGGGGACGAGGTGCCTCGGAGTCGACGATGTCGCATTTCCTTCATTCCGAGTAACAACGCGTGAGTTCAAGTCCGTCGGTTTTATCAGCAAAGTTCTCCCATTTGACGGAGTTTAATTATGACAAAGAACTTTGATTGCCCAACTGTTTGAAAAGAACTCGGACACGCTTTGGAAAAAGGGAAGAAAGGATATCGTACCGTGCTCCAACAGGACCACCAGGAATACTTGGCGCGCACTGCGGCAGAAAATCTACTCGTGTAAACGCGGACAGGTCAGGTTGCCGCGTATGTTCACAAAGCACCAGTGGGGGTTCGCCGGGTCTGCGCGTTCTTTGTGGAAGGAAAGCACGAGCGATCGAGATAGAAAGGCGACTATCGAGGTCGTAATGTCGTCTCGAAGATCAGCCTCAATGACAATCTGAAGGGAAAGAGAGAGAGAGAGAAAGGAACGCGCGCGGGAGTCTCCGTATTGAAAATCGGAGCTGGCGTCTCTTGGAGCCTTTAATCGACGAGTACACGAGGGACATTTAAACGACGTGGCTCCCGCGGAATTATGCGCAAACTGGCAGGGCGATACCGCTCGTGGATTTGGGAGACTGAGAAGACTGCCGCGCGCGCGAAGCCACCAGCGAGCGAGCGAACGTGCGTTTCGTGGCTCCCGCGAGAATTGTATGCAAAGTCGCCGTCGGCGATATCGCGAGGCATCGGCGCGATCGCGACCCGCTTTAACGAATAAAGAGGACGTGGTTGGACTCGAGGGGAGAAACGAAAGAGAAGTGGCGAGGGAGAAGGAAACGGCGCGATCGAGGTCCGCGCGGCGATTTCGCTGGCGCAACGGCAGCGTGGAATCATGCGGCGACGTTGCACAACATATTCCCGTCATCTCCGATCGGCATTTAACGCGCTGCTCGCTCGTGCGTTTTAAGCGAAATAAGCGAATTCCACGAGAAACGCGAAACGCGCGCGCAAGGCTGCGCACCTCCGGCGAGTGGATTCCGTACGGAGATACCCGACGGCTGTTACATTCGTTTGCGACTGACAGTACGCTGCAATAATAAAAAAGAAAGAAAGAGTTTCTCATCGTCGCGAACGGCGAATTAATTCGCGTCTGAGGAATTTTGCGGATGACAAAACGCCGCTGACGCGCGAAGCTCGCCGAGTTATTTCACGCCGTTTCTCGCATTCCGTCGGCTCGTGACAGACAGATACGCGCGATAAGGACGATGATAAACGTCGCCCCTTATCTCGGAAGAAGTTTGAACGGAGAATCGTCGCCTTTTGCGTGGGAGGCGAAGGTACCTCGCGTTACCACTGACATTTAGCAACGCGTTTAGTAACAGCACAGGCATATTTTCGACGCCTCGAGACACGAGTCGAGTGTGTGCGCGCGTCGGTTGAAAAGCGTAAGGTTTGCGTATCGCACAAGCGTGCGGTCATCGGGGATGAGCAATCGCTCTGGCTAGACGGCCCGGAAAGCGAGCGGAATGCAGTTGGCAACCAGTCAGAGGCCTCACCCGCCTCCGGTGCCACCTCGGCCGAGTCGGCAGGTGGTTGCCGAGGCCCTTAAGAGATCGCCAAGGCCGCCCTGTCCCACTAGGCAGGCACCGCCGCCGCCAAACACGAAGCCCTGGAGATCCGATCAGCAACAAGTGCAGCAACAGCAGCAGCAGCAGCAGCAGCAACTGCAGCAGCAACAGGTGGACGCGACGGGCGGACGCACGATTGTGTACGAGTCCATCAAGGAGTGCACGAAGGACTACAAGGACGAGAGCGTGTCCAACGATAAAAATCAGCGGGATGGCAACCAGACGCGGAATACAGACCGAAATGTCGAGGACGGCCGGTCGGAGAACGGAGGCAGAGTCACCTCGTCTCACGATCAACCTCACGGGGCCGGTGCCGGCTCGGAGAAGCCCTACTCCACGGGGAACGTCCCGGTGAACATTGTGCGGAAGCGCAACAGCCTGACCGAGGATCAACGGCCGCAACGTAGACTGGAGATCCGGAGAAACTCCCGCGGGAAGGAGCCGGCCGGCGGTCTGTCGTGTCACCGCGAGCGGTGCAAGGATACGCCCGGCAAGGACCAGCAGAGGGAGAATAGTGTCGTCGCCACGGCAGAGAAATTCGACACGGCGGCGACGAGACCAACGCTGGCCGTCCGAGCCGTCAACGTGTCCTTCGAGGACGAGCGTGCCGCGTCCTCCAGCCCGGATTCCGGCGGCCGAGTCACGGTGAGTCACGCGGAAAAGTGCAACGGCGATCCGGAGAGAGCGGACGGGCGTGACTCGCGGCCGACACCCACGTGCCGGTCGTCTCCTGGTGAGCAGCGATCGCAGCGGCAACAGCAGCGGGAAGCAGCGAGCGGCAAGCCCGCCGGGAGCGACGCTGTCAGGACTGTGTCCTCGAGCGAGAGATCGACGAGCGTCCCGTGCGTTGACCGCGCCGCCACCACGCTGCTCGTCGTCGAGGAACCAGAGCGTAAAATCGCGCTCAGCGACCACGAGGACAGCAACGACAACGACAGCGACAACAATATCCACCGGCAGGACTGGCTGGAGGCGGGGATCCGTTACTCCTCCACGCAGATCACCCTGCACGGGGACGACGGCGACGACGACGACGACGACGACGACGGTGTCGTCAACAGGGATCGCGTCAACGGCTACGATCATCGCGAGGAGGAGAGGATCACCGATCTTGATTTCATCAGGTAGAAACTGGGGGCCGCGTTATCGCCGGAGACTTTGCTCGCGATCGTACTGGATTCTGCAAAAGTGGATCACGGTGTTAAATTATACATAAATGAGTCTCTTCTATCAAGCTAATGTTACACTTATCGTACGACAAATGTTGATTGGCTGCTGAATAGACAACTTCTAGATACTCCAAGATTTTACTATCTCGCAGCCAATCAACACACTCACACAATTTGTCGTACGACAAATGTAATACCAGCCTTACGCCAAATAATACAGAAAGTTTTCTGTCTATCCAGCAAACTGTGTCTCCCAACAATTTCGTAAGTGCCTTCTGAAGGAAAGTTTAAAGTTACGACTGTAGTTTCGTCGGTCTTGAAACAGTCTGTACCAATAAGAGAGAAACTATTGTTGAAATGTGCTCCCCATAAATATGCAATAGCTATTCTTAGAATAACACTGTCTTAATTCCTGAAACTTCACTCTTTGCGTTCACGTCTAATATTCGAGACCCAGTTTATCATTTTCTGGTTAACCAGAAGTTATTCGACTCGCCATTTCGATGTTATCTAAGAAGAGACAGAGAATCGACTAGCCTCTGGTTAACAATTAACCAGAAAATGTAAAAGCCGGGCCTGAGTACGTTTGCAACAAAAGAATGTGCTCGACGGGGATGTTGCTGAAATGCACAGCGCGCGAGTGCATAACAGACAAACGTCTGCGACACAACGTCGCGTGGCGCGACGTTACTGTGTACCGGCGCTAACGACGCGTTAATTATCGAGAAGTCGCGATAGTCGTAGGGTCGCACTTTGTTACGCGCGTTGATCTGAATTCAACGATCCGGCAATACCAGTGTACCGCTTTCTCGCGATAAATACCGTGTCGACCGGTCATAAAAACCAACCGTTCGTTAGCGTAACTAACGTTCAAAAAACGCTCGTGGTCTCTTTTTTTCTCTTTATTTCGTTCCCAAACCGCTCTTAATTTTCTCATTGCCGGTCGTAAAATCTCGAGAAATCCACAGGCTGGTCTTACGGACGTCGACATATTATGCAGCGCGTACATGCACGCGCGAAAAAATACGCGCAATTATATCGACTACGGAATTTAATGAATGTTAAAAAAAAGGGGGGGGAGAAGTGCACTCTCGAGAGCTAAATATAAATTAGAAGTTGCATAAACATTCTTCCCTCGCGATAACAGTCGGTGAGGAATTTATTAAGACTTTTTATAAAATGCAAAACCGATATCGCTCTCTATAACCGCTAATATCGGGTCGGTATCGCCGCACTTGCCGGCGTATCGAGGCGATCTCATCTCAGCACGCGGGAAATAAAACGAGGCGAGCAAGCCGCGGAACCGAATCGAACGGATATCGGCGCCGATAAGAACGATTGAGCGACTGCACACTTCCGCGATGTGCACGCGATGATAATAACCGCGGGGCAAAGTGAGTCATTCGCCAAACCCCCCCGCCTACTTGGCCGCGGGCGGCCGACACATGTAAAGACAGATCCGATTTTTATTCTACAAGATGATCGCGTAACGGTATCCCCGTTTCCTGCGGCTCCCGTCGTACCCTGCCTTTGACAGCTCGCAGGAAAGACCATCCTCAGAAGTTTCCCCCGGAGTGCCGTGACTGCTAAATTCATCCCCCTTGTAAACTCCACGCGGAAAGGATTTTCTTTTCAAATTTACCCGGAAAATCATGTAATCGTGCAACAATTTTATGAGTTTTTCTTTAAATTTTACTACACGGAAAAAAGAATGATGTGTCAAGATCAGTGCAATTGAAATAAAATCGTTGAAACAACATCAGTATTAATAAATGAAAAACGTCAGATTGTTGTCTCCATAGTCTGGATATTTGGTTCAATGCTTAAAATGAAAATCCATAGCAAATACAATTGAGTGAATTATTTATGTTTGTGGCAGCCCGTGACATTAACGTTTAATTCAAGCAACTTCATTTTGTTTAATTCAACAGCATTTTTTTCCGTGTAGTACAATAAGTTTAATTACTAGTGCAATGGCAAAATTTCCAAAAACTCTGTAGTGATCTGGTAATTAGCTTCTTAACTTTATCACTGAAATCTATTTGCGTTGTCCTGTTTACCGAAACGCCCCACAAATGTCTCATTCGTGCAAAATATAAATTATTACAAGAATCTCGCGCTTATTCCAGCATACAAGAACGGATCGCGATGTCTTCCCTGCAAGGATTACCCCCGTTGCCGAGGAGCCTGAGCGGCTTCAACCTGAGCGGCGGACGCGGCGACAGCGGCGAGCCGCCTCCACCGCCCACGAGATCGTCCAGTAAATCCCAAAGAGGCGGTAAAACGCCGCTGCAATCGTCGTCCACGAGGCCGTCACCTCCTACCAGACAACTTACCACCCTGGACACCCAACTGGCGGTGCTCAGGAGGGAAATGGTATACGTTTTCACCCTTTTGCTTCGCCGCCAACCTCGGGAAATCGCGGTTTTGGTCGCTTTGAACGCATTGTTTTATGCAATCGTTACATAACTACTTAATGTGGATCATTAATGAGGAAAGGATAATGGTATCCTTCAGGATTGCGACGGTATCTGGCCATTGTATTTTACGGCGCGTGCAGCAGCGTCACTCGAGATGCGGTCGCTAAATTGTCGATGCTGTTGAAATTGGTGTCTGAAATTGTGCATTCTATAACAGCGGCCATTAGCTCCAATAGAAACCATTAGTCATCTACCGCGCGAAATGTATTTACGGGCATGCAGGAAACTTCCACGCCACCGCGTGCAGTAAGCACGTGCGGTTTAAAAGTGACCGTCGAGGTTTCTTCCGCTGCCAACGATCGGACGGAAGCTGTGCGAATTATTTCTCCGTGTCGCCGAGATTTGTTTGTCATCCGAATTTTTTTAATCCGACATGAAGAGAGACTGTTGCGTGTTACAAACTCTTTTGACTCTTTCTACGCCTGCCTTAGTTCTTTGTTTCATAATTTTCATCTCATTGTTTCAGATATTTTTCCTCTTCTTCCTCCTTTTCTTTGTGTACGTTGTCTTTCTTCTTTCTTTCTACGTTTCTCCATTTAGCCTATTTCATAATTTTTATTTTCAATTTCAAGGATACATAGATGAAACTATTATGAGATAGTAGGTTTTCAATGTCCAAGGGCAATAAATTCATGGCGGAGCCAACAGATGATGCCTATTGATTTAGCAGAAACTCCGCCATCTCATATTAGGAGCCTGTCTCATAATAGAGGACTCTCCTCTACATATTTTTTCCTTACTATTATCTTTTCTATTTTTTTACGTCACCTCAATTTTTATATTTCACAACTTTTAAATTCACACATCTTTCCTTTTCGCCTTTGATTTCTGCTTTGAGGTACTTTTCACATTCTCCGATCGTTCCCGTCTCGTTGTAAACTTCGATCCTCGCCACTCCTTATCCTCGTCGTGTTGTCAGTCCGAGCACGTTCCGCGAGTCCGTCGTCATTTTCCACTCGTTGTCCACCGCTGCTGTGCTCCCCTACCTCCCCCCCCCCTCCCGATTCTTCTGCGTCTGTTTGGGCGACCTGGACGACCCGTTACCTCGAGGCCGCGATCGCGTGTGAGCAAATTGCGGCGCGCGATGAGCGTGTATTTTATGCGTGGGATCATAGGAGCAGCGAGGGAAACCGGAGTAGAGATCACGCCGCGGTAGAGAAAGACAGGACGCGCTTATATCACTCAGCCGTGCGGAGGCTCCGCTTTTTAATAGCTATTACCTTGCAGGTTTGCTGCGCAAACATACTTCACGTGCCTGCCGCAAGTCACACTCCTCTACGTTACATTCCGTCGGCTGAACGACTGGGTTTCTAAAAGACTGTTTTGTTTCGAATAAAATTACGACGAAATCTCCCCCTCGCTTACATCTCATTAGCGGCTCGATAATCTTGTCGTCGCACCGCAACGAGATCCTTCGTTGACCCAACGAGCTTGCGTTTATCGCTCGTACACGTATACATTCGTTTCGTATAAAATTATCGCCGTGTCACGCCGCGACCACGTTCCGCCTGGCATCGCGGCGGTCTTCCCGAAATGAACTGTAACGGGATCTCGAGTAGGATCTCTCCGAGGAGGAGGAGGAGGAGGAGGAAGAGCTCTCGTGACGAGCGTTCTTCTTGGATCTCCATTCGCGTCAACATCTCGACTCGCGTATCTAAGTTAGGCTAATAATTTAATAGTCAATCCAGACACGGGAAGCGAACTGGCACAGCCGCTCCCACGCTACATTCCCTCAGGCACAGCTCCACTCCTTCGGTACCTCCCCCTCTCTCCCTCCCCCCGCTCGCCTGCTCCTTTTCACCTTCGTTCCCTCTTCGTGCTCTTCGTCATCGTCATCCTTCTCCCAGTCTCGTTTCTCCCTCACCGTCCGCTGGCGTCTCTCGTACTCTTCTCCATTCTCCTTTTGCACGTCTCTCCTATACAATTCCCTCTTCCTCGATTCCCACGGCCAGGCGGCCACCGCCGCCGCCGCGCCGAGCTGCTTGGAAATGCGTCGTTTCAGTCCGTAAATCACGAGGTAACATTTGCCTTGGTGACCGTATGGTAAAAGTGAATGCGTCTCGGCTTCCATGTCGGGTCATACGTGAAATTTCGCAGCAACCGGCGGCGAGAAAAGTCACAGGGTTACGGAAATTTGATAAACGTATAGACTTTCCAATAAATATCTGGAAGTCAATCTTCTTTCGAATGAGATTTGCGTAATAGATAACATTTATATATTTGTTTCTAACGTAGAAATCGAGGTATCCGTGGATTTCAGTCGACTCAGTCCTCGATGTTGTAGAACGATAGACCTTAAAGCGATAACTGCGTCTTCTTTGTCCAGTACGAGGATCACTTTTGCGTGTCTCTATCGAAAGCATTCACCGTAGTGTCCCAATTTGCATTCCCGCTTGTCAATGTGTTAATATTACAACAATTGTTTTCGCGTTTGCAGTTTGGCCTGCGGCAGCTCGATCTCTCTTTGTTGTCGCAATTGTGGTCCTTGAACGAGTCGATTCAGGAGTTCCGGCAGCTGCTGCAGGAGCAGGAGGACCGGGCGCCCTCGCCGTCGCCTAGCAGCGAGGAAGGAGACGATACGTCTTACGGAGTGCATCCACCGCCGCCACCGAGGAGACCAGCGCCCACGCTGCATCATCATCGGCCGCCGCGACCACCCAGGCCACCCAGGCCGTCGGCCAGCGACGAGTCGCCGTCGAGCGAGGAGTACGGAGCTGTTTGACGTATCGTCACCGAGAGGAAGAAGTACTCAAGAAGGTCTCGGTCCTCTCATCGCACCTAGAACGGCGTTTCGGCGAGCATTGATGTCTCCGAACACGAGAACAGAGAGAGAAAGAGAGACTTGCGTGAAAACCTTGATGATGTCGCGATCAAGCGTACATGCGTCGTGACGTTCGATTGCGAGCTACTGATTCCTAAGAGTGTCCGTAATGTCGCTTGCAGAGCCATTCAAAGATCGCGAGCCAGGAGACGGTACTTGAATTCGTGACCGGAACCGATGATCGAATCGGTCGATTGACTGAAAGATTGTTCCGCGGTAGATTAGTCGTGGTCGCAGCGTACGATGCTATTTGCGCAACCATCCCGGGGAAGCTATCCCGCTTTTCCCGCGAGCCGTCGCTTGGAGAGCCGTTCGAAATTATCCGCGATCGCTACTTCAGCACGAAAGGAGATTGACGATCGAATCGAAACTCAACGGCCGCAGTAGTTCAGCCGTCATCACGCGAAGCTTATTTCACGTACATATGCGAGATAATAATCGCTTCTCGCAGCCCGGAGAAGAGTATCGACTTGCCAATTTGCAATAACGACATTCCGCATATATTTGCGCTCTAAATAAGGAAGGACTCGATTGCCGCGAGCGAGAGAGCTGACTTCAGCTCGACGCGCCGCTCTCCTCACTACTTGTGATAACGCTCGAAGGGGCCTTCGATTAATGATAATCGCATCCATTTGTGCGGATTAAGATTTCTCCGCGACTCCGCTCTGCCGTAGAGCAACTGTAACAGATCCGAGCCCAAAGCACCGCGATTCTTTCGTGTTGTGATCCAAGAAATGGCGTGATTCTTTCGGCGTTCACCAGCCGCTCCTCGGCTGGTGAGTCCGAAAGGATCACAGCGTTCTCTTCTCTTCCATGTTTTTTTATAATGTTGCGAGTCCGACGCGAAAAAAAATATTTCCTTATCCCTCGTTGCTGACGTCGGGCCATATGCGTAAGTAGATCTGCCGTATACGCGAGGGAGATAGGAAAATTTAATATATTTATAAACAAAATATTTAACGTGATATTTCTAAATGTTTGATTTCTGTTAGATGTTACGGATATACAGCAAGCCTTATAGACTGTGTAATACACCAGATTCTCGCGTGTGCGGCAGATCTTCAGGAAGGCTAAGATTATCAATGTTCCGCGGCGTCCTTTCGTGTAGATTAGTACGAGCTGTGTGTAAAGATATGTAAGACTATGTGCAAAATAAATGAGACTTAATTTAAATACACGCTGAATCGTAACAACCATTGCGTAACGCAACTGCAACCTTTTCTTGTATGCGTCGTTGTCCTGACACAGATAGTTAGCGGTCGACAATGCTGCACCTATTTGCATGTATGCAAATTACATCTCGTTCTGATGCAGCCATCGGCAGGGTGTGTGCGGAAATAAATAGTGCAACAGCAAGACAATGAGGACAGAGAAATTACTGTACGAGACCCTTGCGCCATTCAAGGCACCGCAATAATCTGCACTTTACTGCGTTTATATTCGAATTGCATACTCTATTAAGTAGCTTTTTTCTATTCAGTCCTCAACATAATCACAATATGGTCGATTGATATTAATGTGCACTATTTACAATTTCAAAAATTGTCGAAATTTCTAAGAATTTCTAAGGTTGTGCTATGTAAAATTTTAAGAATTTCTCATTTTACGAAGAATCGATTAGTACTTGGTTATTTGGGCGCAACGTAGGCTTCCACATAATGCACACTAGAGAAAAACGTAAGGACGGCAAGCAAAACCATGCTATAGTTCATGTCTAAACTACTCAGACTTCTTCCACCTGACAATAAGTAGCTCGGACATGAACCTCAGCATGGACACGAACCACACCAAGCATAACGGACGTAGTTAACGTCTACTTTCTCAGGGGACGCATTTGTCTCTGAAGCTTGTTGGTCGCTCTCAGCATATGCACGTGTGTTTGCGGAAACCCACGCGCAATTACAAGTTAATTACGTGTCAATCGATGAAACATTTACAGCCATATAGATAGAATGAGTTTGGCTCCAATTACAACTCGAGTGAATTTTGCGCAATACTAGAGAGGAATTTATAGCTAAATAAATCCACGTTAAGTTCAACATTGACACGAAATTGAATTAATATCGACAATTTAGGAGAAGTTTTTGTAACGCTTGAAGAACTCAAAGTCGATGGACTTCTGTAGTAGAGTACAAAAATCTTTTAACTTGTTTTTCCACGCGATTGTTCTATTTGCGTGAGAGCGCATTTATAGAATCTTTTATCATTGTGTCGTTATTTCTCTTAATCCTATATGTTTATTCAACTTCGATGTCGATGAGCACCATTTTTGCATTGGCCGCAGAAATACGCATTGTGAATCTCATTCATCAGTTTGTACATTTTTTCCTACTTGAGTTTTATTCTTTTTCATGAATTACATAGTTTGGCACTGCGTTGCTATTAAAGAAGAACTCTTATAAACTTTCATATGAAGAAATTTGTCGATGAACGCTGCGACTCCTGCATTCTCCGCACTGCTTGCTTCGCACGCTTGCTCGACATATTTATTAAATTCATACATTTTGCTCCTCAGCATCCATTGGCTCGTCAACGTTTCATATTATACATACAAGACACAACGCAAAGGCGAAGCTATCAGGACTAAATTGTCTCGTAAGTTTTCTTCAACGCAACGTAAGATTTCTTATCTAATTTTAACGTAAGATTTTGTTAGGATTACCAGAACATTACAAAAACGCGTGTTATCCTGCACAGTGAGGAATACCGCACGTACACAAAATACATATCATTGTAAGCTTAGAAGAAAGGACCTACTGTTCGTCCACGTAAAGAAAAGCGCACGCGTCATCGACGGATCAACATGACTTGACAAAAAAGATGCGCCTCGGCCCAGATTGATTTTTCTCTTTCAAAAAAGTTGCTTAAAGGCTAGTAACAAACTGTAATTGCTGTATGAGCAAATTCATGATATGCAAAATGAATGTGGAGAACATTCTTTTAGTGTCTTCTCGGACAAATGTATGTTACTTTTGATTCTTCTTCTTTTTCTTATTTTTCTTATTTTTGACATTTCCGATTTCTTTTTTTTCGTTTTGTTTTGGTGTGCTCTCAACAATTCATCCGCGGGGACACACGTCCGTACAGAAAGAAGCTTTGAATGTCAGCCCGTTTTTCAAACGGACCTGCGTCGTTGCATTGATCGTGTGATACGCTAGCATGAACGTGTCTTTTGACATTAGAACTACCGGCAATTAATTTCTATTACTTAACTGGTATTATATATACATGTTTTCGAGAAGAGGAACGAAGGGGGAAAAGCAAATTGATCAATTTAATCATCTGCAACAAGAAATCTCATTGTCAGATAGTGCAGCGTTAAAATTTGCATCGTCTTTTATCTCAGTTTAAGTTGTCTTTTTCTAGTTTCTGGAATTGGAAAAAGATAAAAAACTTAGTTAAACCGGAATTAAAATTAATCTGCATTGGTAGAAATATTAATCCTTTGCGTCCCAGTGGTTTTGCTATGAGCTACCGTGTTCCTCGAGTCTTCCGTCGCTATTTTGAACTTGTCGCGATTGTAAAGATTGTGATTGAATATTTGCGTTATTTCTAAAACCACAGAATACAGCAATTAGTATTATTAACATTATTTTGTTGTATAATTGACAGTTATGTACAAGTACTTGTATACAGGGTGTCTTGAAATTCGCGAATCAAAATACCATAGCAAGAAAGTCGTCGAAAAAATAAATTAAAAAGTTATTTGCCATTTTTCGTTCCGAGCAGTAGTTTTTTTTACATAAAAAGGTTCAAAACAGGCCAATCATACCTTACGGTTGAACGGAAACCTGTCCGTGAGTCGCGCGTCGATAGTGTTAGTGCATTAACACGGACAGGTTTCCGTTCAACCGTAATGCGTGATTGGCCTGTTTTGAACCTTTTTATCTAAAAATACTACTGCTCGGAACGAAAAATGGCAAATAACTTTTTAATTTATTTTTTCGGCGACTTTCTTGCTATGGTATTTTGATTCGCGAATTTCAGGACACCCTGTATATAACAAACGTTTATCACTTTAGAAAATATATTCTTTATACTGGGTCACGGTGGGTGACAAGAAATTATGAACCAGTTATACGGGCTGCTTCGGTAGTTCTAATGATAAGTTGAGGTCGGTCGTGACACGAGGAGCAATATCTGCGCGAGATTATAAATGTAGTCTCGCAGATGCGCTATTTTCGGAATGACGCGCGACAGAAGGGACGTACAACGCCCCTCGGCGAAAACGAGGGCTCGTTCCCGTCGCCCCGTAGACCCTCCGGGAATCATTGACGCGAAATCTAAGAAGAGGTTGATCTCTATTGAACATCTCGTGTAACGGACATAACACATACAGAACGTCGTCTAATATACGTAGAAAGTGTCTCTCTAGTCGTACACTTATGAAAGATCGTTCAAAGAAAGTCGCACGACCCCTTCCGGATCCTCTCGTGAAAGCTCTCACGCGCGCTTTTGCTCATTTTAAAAAAATACCGACGCGCGAGTCACGCCTGACACGCGGATATATGTCGCAAAGCGGGCGCGCATCGTGACCCTTCTACGTGTTTAACACAGCCGAAACCTAGCGTTGCATCGTACACGTTACGCAAGGTGTTTCTTCAGTATTATCTAATATTTTAGGAATTAATGTTACGAAGAAAAGTTCCTGTGCAATACCCAATCTTAAGGGTCTCACCTTGCATCTCTGAAACGAGAAACCCTCCAAATATACTCAAGAAACGCCCCGTGTAATCTAATTATCTAATACTTTAGGAGTTAACGTTACAAAGAATAGTTCCCCTGAATTATCCAATCTCAAGGGTCTTGTTTGCGTCTCACTTTGCGTCTCTGAAACGAAACCCTTTCATGAAGGGAGACTCGTGTAAGCTCAACAATTAACTCCTAAAATATTGAATGCTACTCAAGAAGCACCCTACGCAAATGCTGCGCGATAACTTTCTCATGAGGTAGTAACACTCACGCCCGCCACTTTGCGAGATATTCGAGCGATGTACCAATTACTTGCCACACATGAAGACATTCATAGAAAAATGCTTTCATACTCTTATACGCTGCGCATCTTCCATTAGTTTAATCTCCTCGCTTCTTCGTTAAAAATATTTCTTCTCTATGTATAAATGCTACTTCGTCATTCTGAATATAAACGGGTAGCTTCGAAGGAGAGCTCAACGCGAGGTGCTCTTTCGCCATCCCGCAGCTTAAAGAACAATTATTATTTCTGAGGAATACATATACATATATGTATATATATGTATTGTTTGTTCCAAGATACTCGTATATGGAAGATGCCCAAGGAACATTTCGTGAAAATTTACAACGGATCCGAGAGAGTCGGTGGACCATTCGTACGATATATACATCGTAATATAATTCGTAAATGCGCACCGTGCCCTTCACGACGGCGCTAAAGATGCATATACATTTATAATTTCTATTTCAACCAGATTTTTAAACAACCACGAAAAAACAATCAGCGTCCCGTTGCCTTTCCCTTTCAACGAGCAATTTCTAACGGTTTCTCTCGCACGCACACACTTTGTACTGATCTTCTTCAACCATGATAACGATTTAGTCACATTAATGTCTAACATTATTAGGTAGTTACCTTAACAACGAGCTTACTGGCTAATACTTAACGTTGCTAGTAATATAGACTGCCTTTTTTGGCTCTTTTTTTTTAAGGACAGTGACACTAAATATGGAAATTAAGAAATTGATTCTTCTGGATGGATACTTTCCGTTTTGACGCTGTTTCCTTATCCAATTTGGCATATTCAAGATATCTCGTTGTCTGTTTTTCGATCAACATTTTTCCTCCGCTCACTAAATCAATAAATCCACTAATTGTGAAATAAAATATTGAGAAAATGTCGATACAGATTAAAATGTATATAGAATATATTAAAGTTTAGACTGAATTAATGATCATCTGATTTGTTAAATAATTCTGTTACATACTAAAATTGAAAAATATACAATTGAATTCAATACTAATTAAAAATCTTACATATAGCTGAAAGTTAATGAGTACAAATACATACAGTAAAAAGAGTGTTGAAAAGAATGACGAAGATTCCGATTAAAGATGTTTGATTTTGACGGTAATGTGCAAAATATCTCTTCTAATTTGTCAATTCTGCACTTTGTATGCACTAGAAATTCAAATATTATGAAGAAAGCAATACAAATAAAATAATCCTATTGCGATACATTTTATTACATACTTAAAAAAATGTTATAAAATCATAAAATTAAAGTATAAAACATGCATTGATAATATCCTATCGCAATTTCTACTGTTTTTTTCCGAAATCGGATTCCTAAACGTAATTATCGTCAGCGTCATGCATCTGGAAAAAGATGAGCGAATCTTGCAAATCCGCAAATAAATTGGATTTAATTAAATACACGATTTAATTTTGTAAATAGGCAAAACTTAGCAAGAAAAACTCATCTACCGTAATTCGAGTAATAATCGAATCTTCTATATACATATATAATACATACAATAAATAAAATGTATTATTAAAACATGATCGCTGATTATATCTGGATTTATCGATAACTCGTTAATTCCCTTCGTTACTATATTTCTTAACGATGCACCGTCAATCGATTGATCGTTCAATCATTCAAAATGTAGCACAGGTCTTTTCTCTCTCCATTCCAATATCTTTCCACTTTATTTGTGACGGAGGCTAAAAATCTAAAAATGTCTAAGCTACATGAGCATTTCGTGTGTCCATCCAACCAGGAGGTACAACGCGTAGCGCAATAAAATTGTAAAAATGCGTATAGTACAATTTATAAATAACAGATAAATAACAACGAGAACGTAAATTGTTAATCGGAGTAAAAGTCGCGTGTTATTTCAGCGAACATTGTAGATGTGCTAAAATGGTAAATTACAACTTTTTTTCGAGGGTAAAATTGAGCGTCCGATATAAAACGATCTCGCGACGCAGGCAATTACCTTTTTTTCTTCTTACTAATTACATGGAGTGAAAAAATCTGAAAGCGAAAATAAGCTTTCATACGTAAGATCTATTTCAGAATCGATCGGTGATAATGTGTGTAATGTATATATATATACGTACGTATGTATACGAGGCGGCGTCGCGTGCGCAAAAACATTAACTTTTATTCTCTCTCGCACATCGTCGACTACCATTTTCACCAATAGGTGAGACTTTCTCATCTCGTGTCTTCGAAAAAAGAAACATACCTCCTAGCGCAATTTACTGGTGGCTCAAAAATCCTGCCACGCGTTGCAAATGTAAAAATTGCGATAGCTTTCCCACGACAGAGCCGGCATACTGTTCACGCTTGACGCAAACGGAAACCTTCCCGGCGGAAGTCTCCATTAAGTTATCAGAATAACGCGTCTGCGATCCTGAGGCGTCAACCAAACATGATAGCGTTCCTCGCCACCGGGTCCATGTGGTTCTCTAGCTTTACCAGGCGCACGTAATTACGGCCGTAATCCGTGAACGCCATTCTACCGTCGCAGTGAAGGGCTATACCCAACGGACGATCCATCTCCTCCTGACCGGGCTTGTAGGAATAGATCAACGAACCGACCGAATTGAACGCCTTGATCGAGTTGTGACGGGAATCTGCAACGAGAATGCTGCCGTCGTCGGCTGCTATAATGCCCTGGGGCCTCTGAAATGTGGGGGTGATCTCCTCGTTCTGCCCGTCGCCGACTTCCCCATCCTGCCTCTTGCCCTTTGAGTCTTTCTCACATTTAAGTATGCGCATGTCCACCATGTTATATTCAATTATCAATACATGATGATTGTTGAAGTCCGTGACAATCAGCTTGCCCTCATTATTGAAGCAAATACCACGCGGCGAATCCAGATACCTCAGTAGATGCGGTTGACCGCCGAACATGCGCAGGGGAATACCCTCGGGACTGAACAGCTGGACGCGGTGGTTCCTCGTATCTGTAACAGCGATCTCGCAAGCTGAGTTCACCGCCACGTCCCACGGATAACAGAATTGGCCCTGTTTCTCTCCGTGTTCGCCAAAGGTCCTCAGAAACTCGCCCTCCAATGTTAAAATCTGAAACATAATGATTCCATCGTTAGTTTACATGTCCAAGCGGCAGTCTCGATGTACACTTAAAAATATAAACGCGCAATATAATCACCAACCTGAACGCGATGGTTATCCTTGTCGACCACGATAAGGCGACGTCTGGCATCGATGGCGATTCCGGCTGGACGATTAAATTGACAAGGGCCGTTTCCGTAGCACCCAAATTTCCTGATCAGTGTACCGTCCTCACGATAGACCTGTATGCGATTATTGGATCGATCGCTGATTATGATGTTACCCTCATTGTCGCAAATCAATCCCCACGGGCGGCAGAGATTGTCGGCGTGGTTCTCGCCAAAGTAGCCAAGGATTATGACATCCGTGCTCTTGACTTGCAACTCGTGCTTCCGATTAGGAAGGCAGATGTTGCGATCGTAGTCCGTTATCGGACGACCGCGCGGGATCGGTTGCATCATCTGCTCGCTCATTCCGTACGGGAAGTACGGGAAGTACGATTGCGATTTATAATCGCGATTCGGTAGACGGTCCCCGATTACGCCCGGGCCGTTCACCAGGACGTTTCCTCCGTTGGCGATCACGGAGAGCACGTTGCTGTCGGAACTCCTGAAGGAGATCCAGTTCTCGTCTCGAACAGATCGAGCCTTTGTCTTTCGGCTTTGTCGAATCTGCCAGATCTGCAAAGACGAAATTTGAGAAAAAATGTCGCGAACGGTATCCAAAGATGGCATCTCAAAGATAAATGTCATAAAGAGGTGTAGATAATTGCACTTTGCCCTTAATGGGGGGGGGGGGAGAACCCTTAAATATTCAAATAATCAACGTAATATGCAAAATACATTTGAATAATGAAGTACCTCGGCCAACACCATGTCCTTTCTCTGCAAAAGGTCATCGGGATTGCACACGGGGGATGATTGTGCGTCACGGATGGCGCATTTCAGAGCATTGACGGCCTGCGACAGCCGTATCTTATCCTCCTTTAAATTCATGTACTTCTCGTGAAGCACCTCGTACTTCCATCGACGCGTCTCCACAATTTGTTTAAACAGTTTCTTCTCCCTCTCTTCCACCGCGGTCCACATTCTACGCGAAAAGAACTTCACGTCGGTGAGCGCCTCTCTGGTCCTCTGATCTAACGCTGCAATGTCCAACTGCGAGAAAAGCGTACAATAAACTCCCCCTCTGTCTCCTCTCTTGGATATCTTTAGAATTTACTTTATGTACGAATGTGCATTTATCTCAACTAAATTCTTATCGTCCTTAATTTCTCAAGATTAATCATGAATCCTCAACCGTGCTCAACTGTAACTTTTAAAAACGCTGCATGATTTAGAAATTACATAGGCACATAAATCTCTATTTTTTAAGCTCCAATAATTTAATCAATGTTTTCATTTACCGGTTGTATAATTTTTTCCTTAAATAACATTAAAAAGTTAAATTAAACTTTTAATAAGTTAAACTCCCTGAATCCAATTAAAATTCTCTTGTTATCTAGATCTCGTGGTCAATAGAGACTTCTGTATCTGTAGATGTGCAAAAATAAAAATAATTGTTTTTTTTACTTCTATATACTTGCTGTAGTGTCTTGTGTTTTTCAGTGCACAAAATCGAGTTTTATTTAGAGCAAAAAATATTTCTTTTCGTTTTGCTTCGTCTCGTCAGAGAGGAAGATGGAGAAAGCTACTTCAAGCGAACCAGTCAATTGACTCACCCCCATATTTTCCATATCGTCCGCGAGAACGTCGATCCCGAGGTAGGCCTCCATCAGCACCTCCTCAGCCTGATGCTGAGCGTTTTCGAGGACCTCTGTTAGCTCCATCGTCACGTGTTTGTAAATGCAATTCTTGGCGCATTCCTTGCAGATCGCTTTGCAGCAGGTTTGACAGTAAAATAATTGAGCGCAGGGATGATCGTTGCATTGATACAACATCGCGGCTTTCAGCGAATCGAACGACTGATCCTCCTCCAGTGTTTCCTTCGCTGCGTCTTCCTTGGTCGAGATTGCGCTGGACGTATCCTCCTCCACATTCAGGCTGTGGGCCCATTGTTCGCCGACAGGTGACTGCTGCCTCGAGTAATTTTCCTTCTTCAGTTCATTCGCTACCTCCAACTCCTCCGTTATCGATGGTATCAGGGGTAAGTCGGATGGATCCCTCTGGCTACTCGGGCTACGCGTTCGCTGCTTCCGCGACAGTACAGTCATATCGCCCTCGTCTTTTTCCATCAACGATATTAATGATTCATTGAGCACATCCTCTTGAACATTCAGGCCATGTTGCTCACGCACGGGTGATTGTTGCGTAGACGAGATGTCGTCCAGCAGGTCGATCTTCAGAAGATTCATATTGAAATCTTCGAACGTCTCGTAGTTCAGCTGACAACTCTCGCTTCGATAGCCTGAGAAGCTCGGCCCGGGCATGTCAGTCACGCTGGCATCCTCAAACATTCGAAAATAATCAAAATTGTCCGATGAACTGGTGTCCAGCTGGTGAATTGGCGAATGGTTTGTTAGATTGTCATCGGAGGAGCTCGATCGACTCTCGCTCGAACAGCTTAGCGAGCTGGCAACCATTGAACGTTGGTTGTACAATTTTGAACATTCGTTCAAGGAATCTGCATGATTGAGGATCGAACGACTTAACGCGTTGTCCTTGGAATGCTGCGACAGTCTCCCTGAAGGAAACTGCCTTGAGATGTGATCCGGACTGGAATCCGAAAATGGTCGGATCTTCTTGGCGATAGTGGACTTCCTTGTAAAGTGCTGATCATCTTGCTTCCGCGGCTTATTTGTAAGCTAAAACAAATTCCGCTGATTACTTTATATTCCAATTGGACGTGTGCTAACGCAACTTAAGATTTACTTGAAGGATCGCAAGGACCGATCAATCGCCCGATCTACTCAGAAAAATGGAAAACTTGTTTTAACAGGAAACTATACGCAGAAATCACTTTCAGAATTTCTAAGTTTGGGCTGTAACTTTACTGAACTTTTACATTGCTGGTTAATTCGGGAAGAGAATTCGAGTATATATTTTTGTCGTGATATTAGAAAAATAGAATGATAAAATGTAGAATGAAGTTACTTGTTGAGGGAATGATTTAAATATCATTTCTACAGATTACAAGTTATTTCAAAGCTACTTACTTGCATGGAATGACGATTGCAATCTATTCTGTTGCGGGGAGCTCTTAATTGGTTCATTGTGGCGGGCAAAAACGGTTGGTAAAGATTCAGAGAGGTCTCCTGTGTTGCACGATTGAAAAATCTTGTTTTCCTGAAACGAGAATTGCGGCGAACTGTAGTTAATTCAACGTCTTCGTCATTATATACCGTTTTCTTTTTCTTATCAACTAATATAACGTGTGAATTTATATTCCAGGATTATTCCTGGAACTTTCCTTATCTTTCACATCGACCCATCACACATCACCCGTTATGCATCACCCGTTCGTATTTTACGTCGTTAATAATTAAAAAAAGCACACACTGATAATCAAAAGACCTCGATAGTTACGACATTACGATAATACGAACTGATATATAATGTCATCTGATTGCAGTGGACGTATGACTCAAAAGATAAGCTAGCAAAAAATACACAGGGGGTCTATTACGGTTCTCGGATTGGGTGAAAATGACGAAAGTGAGTAGCTTTGTCTCTTTCTAACTGTCCCTTTAGTAAGAGACAGAGCCGCTCACTTTCGTCATTTTCACCCAATCCGAGAACCGTAATAGACCCCCAAGAGTACCTAATTTTTCTCACGCGATAAATTAAGTCTATTCTTGTACGTATTTTATACAAGGGACTGCGCTTAATTTCTATAAAATCCATTTGAGAGCTTTGACAATTTAATGGAAATTTCTCTTTTTCAAGAGAATGATAATCTGAACGAGCGAAACTCAACAACAGTGCGATTGAAAGAAAACAGACTTAAAGGATTGCGTTGGGATTTTTTTAATCAAGGTAAAATTTCATTCGTGGCTTCCTAAGTGAAATTTAAGAGATTTTCAACTTTAAAAGATTACTTTGGATTTGTTTTAGGACATTATTTCTGCTTCACTGACAGCAACAATGATAGAAAGTAGGTATTGTAGTGACCTTTATATTTATTCGTAACAAAGGAAACTCGAATGTCGCAAGATATTTATATATGATAGCAAGATTCTTCGAAATTATAACAATCTCAGCCTTCAGCAAAATAGATTTGTTCGCTAAATGTGTCTGCGTTGTGCAGCGTACTATATAAAACTACTTAATATAAGTACAGTGACTGTATATGAATTATCGGTATATTCATATATTTTTAATTCTCCACTCGTTATTGCACTTGAAAACCAACATGATAACGACCTGTTTTGCTACTTGAAAGTTGCCGGACGGGGCGAGGCGTTCGTTATCATGCCAACACGTTTAACAAACAACGTCGAAAATTAAAATAAACGATCATTTTTCTTGATATTTCTCGTGGAATGGAAAGTCGATTGTACACCAACGGAAGAATCTGCTCTTACAAAGAACGTTTGTCATTCCGTTGTAAGAAGCGACTCGGTCGCAATTGCGAGGTAAACCTATCATTGGACATTACACAAAATGTGAAAACCGATAAACACGTGAAAATTTCGCTCGAACTAACGGCTATAATTTTTATCGAGCCCGTCTCTACGTTGATATTGAGTTGATTTACCTATACCTATTCTTCTCTCGAAACGGATCTTTGCAGCGAAGCTTGTTGACGTTTGAACCACCACTGTCTTTCGTTTCCAGCGAACTAAACTGTTCGGGTCTCGCATTGTTTACAAGGATGTCTCGCGAATGCGACGAGGTCACTTTGTATACTATTCGGATTATACAGTGTGTCCTATTTCTAACGCGTTTTAACACTCCATGATCAACTTGAAAGGAGCTTTTCTTATTAAGAAATGTCGATCTCTCTGTATCGCCGAAAGAGACGGAAATTTCTCTAACGCGATCCGAATTTGTTGCACGTGTGCAGCAAGACATTTTAACGAAATATATTCGCATACATATACTAGTAGCACAGTGCATTGGTTAAACATAGACTAAACGTTGGTTCAATATAACCAATGTACGCGAACAAATTTCGCTTAACGTTTAGCCAATGCACTGTCCCAGTCAGAAATGACTCATCGACTCGATCGACGTTGAAACCGTCATTGACTCCACATCTATTAGAAAAATCGAATTTACAATTTCATCCCGTAGGACGATACTTGCACGATCGGCAAAGAGCAAATAATTTCAATCGAAGTCGAGTCATTTCTGACTGAGACAGTGCATTGGCTAAACATTTGACTGAACGTTGGTCCAATATATTCAATATTGGACCAACGTTTAGCGACATTTTTCGTCTACATGGGTAATATTGGTTTCGATCGACGAGTCATTTCTGACTGCCCTGCCGGAAATAATTCTACAAAATTCTACAAAAAAATAAAATATACTACAAAAACTAAAATATAACTGGCAGAATCTAAGAAATTCTACGTAAATTTAACAAGTGTTATAAAAATCAACGTGAAAATGCTAGAATTGGAACACTTTTGTTCACTTTTGTAATATTCTACAAGCAGATGTTTTAATTATTTAAGATTTTGTTGTTTCTCAAATTTTTCAAACTAGTAAAGTTCTCTGTACTAATTTTTACAAAATTGTACATTTTCATAGAATACTACTTGCAATAATTTCTTGATTTAAGAACATTGTGATTTGTGGTAATATTTCGTAGATATTTTTACAGAAAAATTAATGTTTCAACGAAGATATAAACATTTCTACAAATTTCTATTTTAAATCAATTTTTGTAGTTATTTATGGAAATTTTTTCCGCCAGGGTGGGCTGCTACTAGGATAGTATATGCGAACAAATTTCGCTAAACATTGACTAAACGTTGGTCATATTGGACCAATGTTTAGCCAACGTTTAGCCAATGCACTGTGCTACTAGGGTAGATAAAAGTAATAAAACTGACAAGAGAAGAGCCATCTATCTCTCTCTCTCTCTCACTGTAAACACGGTAAACATAATATTTTTCACCAGAAATAAGCGGTAGATTTAATCGCACAGAGGGATTATTTTAAATATTATATATTCCCATGTTAACGTTTTGTTCATAAACAATATTTAATTTCGCCAGGCCGTGGAAAAGTTTGCTCGCTTTTCACATAATAAATATAATAAGCAACAAGTCCGTGTTTACCGGTGCTCTGGATTAATCCCAAAATCATATCGTTCCCTCGCTTTGCTGGGACTATATTAAAACTGGAGATTAAATCCTTCTCGTTAATATTTTCTTTTTGCAACATTGCGAGGAGGCGATCGCTTTAAAACCATTAAGACCAAAAACAGTGGAACAGCAGCGTTATACTTTTTTTCCACAACTCCGCATCTATTAAAAAAAACGAATTTGCAATTTCATCCCTTGCACGATCGGCAAATGCAAGAGCAAATAATTTCAATCCCTACATTATGCCGTGTTTTTTTTCTAAATATACAATGCGTACAGAATTCTATCTATATCGCGAACAGGATTGAGAACATGTTCAATATTGCGCGATGTTTCATTCTCGAGTAATTTTTGAACAGTTTTATCGGCATTTGAAAACACACTTAAAAAAAGAATTACAGCCTCAATAATTTGATACTTTTATTTCGAAATGACTTCAAGTGTTTGCTTGATTGCTATCGGTCTGCGACGCATGACTCTGATATCCGACAATTATCCTGAAATATATGGTGTTTGTAAGATATTGAATTCTCTATCTAATATCCTCAGCAGACGGGAAAGATTATATCTCGTGAGATTATAAAAACTTTTATTGAATATCTAACTGAATATCTTTAATAATTACTACTTAATTATATATTATCTTTCACACAAAATGATGCTGAGATTAGATATAGAAAGTGTGCAGATATAAATTTTCTTTCACGAAATTCGGCTCACGCCCCGATAGCGCCAGATCGATAGCAGACAGCAATGAGAATCGTTTGAGAATCGCAATTAGTAAACTTTGCGTTTTTCGCAAAGTGTTCGCATTTTCCTCTTTTGTTATTATACATTATTACACATTATTTTACATCGAGCGGAAACGTGTAGAAGGCACTTGGTGTCTTTCCCTGCAGGAAATAATTCTACAAAATCCTACAAAAAGAACAAAATATACTGCCAGAATCTAAGAAATTCTACGTAAATTTAAAAAGTGTTATAAAAATCAACATTAAAACGCTAGAATTGGAACACTTTTGTTAATTTTTGCAATATTCTACAAGTAAGCAGATGTTTTAATTATTTAAGATTTTGTTGTTTCTCAAATTTTTAAAACTAGTAAAGTTCTGTACTAATTTTTACAAAATCGTACATTTTCATGAAACACTACTTGCAATAATTTCTTGATTTGAGAACATCGCAATTTGTGATACTTCGTAGATATTTTTACAGAAACATTAATGTTTCAACGAAGACATAAAAATTTCTACAAATTTCTATTTCAAGTCACTTTTTTCCTAGGTATTTATAGAAATTTTTCTCCGCTAAGGTTTCCGGAATGCTTCGGAGCGAGCGATCCTCCCGCGGAGGGATAGTATCCTCGAGATCGCCATGGCGACCAAGGTCAGATCCGCTTTTCCTCTCGGGGGTCAGGAAGGTGGAGAAAGTAGAAAATGGCCGTGTACCTGCGTGCGTGCCGCGCACCGTCTCCGCGAGGACGTGCGTGCGCCGGGGCATGCGTGATCCGACAATGTTTACCCAAAATATACAACGGGCCCGTCTGTCGCGTAACGACACGGCTTGATCGAATTTCGGCTCCTACCAAAATCCCTTTGTCCCGCACCGCGTATCGATTCGCTCTCTCCGACAATTTTTCTACGTTATTATCGAGCGACGTACCGCCGCGCTTCATCCCAGCCCACGTGCTCTTCGTAAAATTCGGCCCTTGGTAGAGAGAACGTACCGCTGGCCGGGGAATTCTAGAAATTCCTACTTTCAGATACGAGGAGAAGACGAAATAAAGATAATCGCTCCCAATCTCTTTTTTTTCTGTTGAGGAAAGTCCCTTCTTACGAGATAGGCTTCTACCTGAGACATAGAAACCTCCGAGATAGCAGGTTTCCAACGTCGAAATTCGATCACATATCTTTTTTTCTCGCGACGATTGCACGATCTATAGCAATGAATTTTCCACTGAACAGATTTCACACTCCGACAGCAATAAATTCATGGTGGAACCGATAGATGATGCTTGTTAATTCAGCAAACACCCTGCTATCTCATATTAGGGACTTGTCTCACAATAGGGAACTTCCCTTATTAATTGCGCATGCAAAATAAATCTTTGTACGATAAAAAAAAGGAAGGGAAACGGTCAATGGGAAATGGTCAAATTGCAAAGTACTTGTTTTGCAATTCCAGTTCTGAGCGTTGGAAAGACGTGAAAAGTAAGTCAAATCGAGATCGGAGTCCAGCCTCTACGTTGATAAAAATGGACGCGAGCCCCCGATGGTCCGTGATTTCCAGGTAGGAGCCAATCGAAAGTCCGCCGGGCACCGTTTTCGCCGCGGCGGGCGCCCCGCGTGACGTCACCCTGCCACTTTCGCTCTCGTTCGCGTTTCAATGCCGCACCGCGGAAACGGCTCCGCGGCCGGCGCGAGTAACGGGGAATCGGGAGGGTCGCCGTGACGTCAGAGCACCGGCAGGGTTCGCGGAGAGACGGAACGACGGAGCCGAGGTCTATACGCGGCAGTGCGGAGCCGGATGCCGGACGAGGGCAGGAGCCGCGAGTCTCACCTCTCGTACGTGCGCCCCTCGAGGCAGTCGTACTGACGTGCGGCGAGCATGCCTTCCCGTATGTCCACGCTCGCGTATCTCCCCAGGATTAGCGTCCTCGACGACTGGACATTGACGCGGTACAGCTGGCCCCTCGTGTCGGACGCGGCCGGGTAGAGCCTCCGCATGCCTCCGACTGCGGCGAGAGGAGTGCCACAAGGGCCCTCGTGGCAGCACGACGTGACTAGTCCGACGTAGTGCTTGAGCTCGACTACTCGATCAGCCTCGGGAGCGATCGCGTTGGGGGCCTCCTCGCGCTCGCGGTCTTTCGACTTTCAAGGCGCGCCGGGGGGTATCTCAACGTTTTCACGGCACATCGGTTTCTCTTAACAATTAGCGAGGACCAGTTGGTCACAAGTGACTGATTGTTTTCACAGAACGCCGCGAACCGGAGGTCCGACGAGTCTCGGGGGCGGAGTGAACCAGGCCCACTGAGCGTTAAAGAAACGACGTGTGTACAATAAGCAATCCAGCCTCTACAGGGATGATCGTACCGGAAGAGCGTCCGTTACAGTCGCGAACAGTCACGCAAGGACCCACTGAACTCGTTCACTCCCGTCGCCGCGGCGACGAAACGCGCGAGGCTTCCCGGGCTGCGAGGCGCAAAAACAACCCCCCCGCGCGGACTTCGAGAAAGGGACTCCCCCGAGTCAAAGGGCCCGGGAGCAATCGTCGGGACACGGTCGCGTATGTTCCGCGAGTTTCCCGCGCCCCATCGTCGTCGGCGCGCCGGCTCCTGGGCGATTATCCCGCGTATTTCCGGCACAGGGATCCCAGGTGGTCCGCCCGGGGGTGGAGGAGCCCCGTGAACGTCACTCGCACGTCGACGGAAGGAACGAACGACCGACCGGCGGAGAAACGTGGACCGAGGATCCCGGACGCGGCTTCTCTCCCTCCGGGAGCGCGTGTCACCCTCCGAGTCGAGCCGGGGTTCGCGAGCGGTGCCGTGCCGTGCCAAGCCGGCGCGCGAGGAACAGAGCGGTCCGCCCTTTACTCCGGCTCGCGATCTACCTCTGAATCACCCACGTCGCCCACGCATCGCAATGCCGGGGGCTCTCTCTCTCTCTCTCTCCCTCTGCGTAGGTGACTTCTCTCGCGAACCCCTTCCCCGGGCAGCGCCATGCGGTTTCCTCACGGTACGCCTGCGCCCGGAAACCATGAATGGAGGCACCCGCTCAATGCCGGGCGGCCTTTTATTTGCTCGCACACGGGAGCACTGCGGCACCCCACCTCCCACCTCCGCGACGACGACGACGGCGAGGACGGCGACGGTGACGGCGACGACGATGACCTTCAGCCGGCAGCCAGGGTCGATCGGGCAAGCCGGGTCCCGCGGAACAGGTGTTGCGTCGCGGCCCGCGGTCAGTCCTCTCGCGCGAACGCGTCACGGATCGTTAATCATCAATGAATCTTTAATTGCCACCGGGTCTCCAACGGCTGTCGATGAAACGGGAATTATTTACTGGCCGCGCGCGAGGCAACAATCTGCCGCTAATGTCTTCGTCAGCTGTAAAAGCCCTCCTCTCACCCTACAGCATTTTCCAAAGATCGGAGTGAAAGAGAAACTACTGACTCGCCAAGCGTTATGTTAAATAATGAACGGCATTCAATTATTGGTGGGCAATATCGGCAGCTCTAACGCAACCGCGTCCAAAGTTGTTCCTTAAAAGTTTTCCGCGGAGAGCTCGGGACATTTTTTCAGTCGACACCATCAAACATTCAACACCCAGAGGATTTGGAGAGTCGCATTTTTTTTCCTCGACGGACAGATTGAGGCGCAACGCGAGACACTTCGCCGCTTTCCAATTTTCTGCCGCCGTTTCTGTACAGTCTTCCCTTCGCGTTTCCACGGGAAAGCGCCAAGCAGTTGGGGCCCCCGAGTAAAATTTCAAAGGGAGAAGAAATCGTCCTCCGTCATCCGGACCACCCTACATTCGCGCGATACCGGCGAAGCGTCGAACGGGGAGGCGGGGATGATGCTAAGAATTAGTGGACGCAACTTTATGAATGGGCGACTTGGGCGTGAGGGAACGCGTGGAGGGGCGGTCGTGCCGTTTAACGATCGCGCGCGCCCCCACCTCTCCCTCTCTCTCTGTCCCTCTTTCTCCCTCTCGATTCATCCCCCGCCGTCCCCGTTTCCACGCGCGACTCCATTCGCTTCCTCCCTCGCCGGCTACGCGCTCACACGTGCGGTCGCGCGACTGTGTCGGCTACGGACTAGCCGCTCTCATAGGCAACGGGGTGAGGACCGGGGGAGGTTGCGCGCAGCGCACGTGTGCAAATCCCTACGGGGGCGAGTCGCGCGTGCACCCGCGCCCCGCGAGGGTGGAGAGTGTGGGCACGCGGCACTCTCGCGCGGCAAGTCGCGCCGAGCGCATCGGATGACAATCGCAACCAGACGCTCGCGCGCGGGTGTATGTACTTGTAGCGCAATGTATCCAATTCAGTTTTGACACTGAAGAAGTTTGAAATCGGAGCCCCGTAAACTGTGCGCGCGGGGGTGGAGGGAATGAACGTTGTTAGCGAGCACGAGCGCGAAACTGAATTTTTCGGGTCTCGATTAAAAGGGATACGTGCAATGAGAAAGTCTTTTGTGGATTTCCCGATGGCCGAGGTATCAATCACCCGGTTGCTACTAATGACAAAGCCGCTTTAACGGGAACCGATGTTTACCGCGAAACTGTTTCGCTTGTTAAAAACTTGTCTCGCGGTTATAGCCGAGCTGCGGCTCAATTCAAAGGAAAAACGCGAGCGCCGCGAAAGTTGGAGTATTAACTTGGTCAAACTTGAAACTTTATAAACAAAGAGTAAGAACCTTTTTCGCGAAAATCTTAAGAAAACTCTGGATACAGTTGCGTCAGAGCTGCTGATATCGCGCGTCAATAATTTAATAACATAAACACTTTGCAATTCAATTCAAATCTCTCCTTCACTCTGATCGATTAAAATGTTTTAGGGCGAGAGGAGGCTTTTCGATATGTGTCTCACGCGTCCAGCATCCATTTCCATGTGCGTATTTCAATCTCACAATGAAAGATTAATAACCGTAGGCTTCCGGAGAGCGAGCGTATCATTAAATTCCTTCGAATTCCGCTTCGATTTCTAGGATATGATAATTCGGGGGATACTTGGAGTCCCCGCCATTGATCGTTACGGGCGCAGCGGGCATCGTGGCTCGGAGGGATGAGAGTCGCCCGGTGGTGGGTGGCTGGGGCATCGATGAACGAATGCCCCCCCCACCTAACCACCCGGCGCTGAGAGGAGCGTGGGAGTTTCCAAGGTCATCGCAAGAGCAAAACGTAGTACGACGCCTCCGCCGGGACGCCTCCGCGCACGAGGCGTAGGCGTGGAATGTAATATACACATCCATCTCTGCAAGACGTTTCAAATTGTCGATAGCAATTAATACGCGTTTCACCGCTGCATTTATTAACAATTACCTGAAGCCGGGGTGAAGAGTCGTTCGTCGAGCGGACTAGGACTTTGCGGGCAACATTTCGGAAAACGTGGCCGTAGGATGCCTCGCTTCAAAACGCATTTACGAATTTATTAAAAAATAATACAAACCCACGTGCCTTTTCAAGCACCAGCCACTGTAATTTTAATCCTCGCTCTCTATATCGAGGTAAACTCTCAAAGCCGATATAAAACAGAACTTTTGGGAGCATAATAGAATAAGCTATAAAAAATGTATATATGTTAGACGTGACTAAAGCATTAAATAAATTTTCAAGTACGTGTTGATTTACCGAAGGCAAAAATATCAATTCGGATAACGGTTGGAGAAGCAAAATGAATGACTGAAATTAATCATAGTCATGTCGCTTGTTAAAAATGTTTCACTGTTATTAGACAAGGAAAGTATTTCGATAATCGTAAAAAAATGTCCTATCAGTATGATTTCTTACAAGATTCATAGTATCAATGGATTATTAGTAATGTTTGTATACCACTATATATTACTGTTCTAAAAATACACGATGCAAACGTGAGTTATTTTTAACAAACGCGAATGGTATTTTTGCCGGTTACAATCACCACACCATCATCCTGCAGCTCCTTCAGAGCATCTTCGAACATCTCGCGCGTCATCAACTAAAAAATAAAAAGGGAAATTGAACAAGCGCAGCTTTCCGCAACGCATATTAACGGTAAAATAAAACTGTAACGCTAACGAGAACGAATAATAACGAGCTGATCGTTTTACCGTGCTGGACGATTCTTTCAGTTCCGTGAAAATCTTCTGGTAATTTAACGTCGGTGCCTTATCCTTGCCCTTGATGAGCTTCTTCAACGCCTCGACCAACTCCTGCCGACGCTTTCTCGCTGCCAACGACATGCCAGTCGTCAGGATACTAATATCGATCTTGCCACTCAGTGGATCGATGGCGGACTGTTTCAATGCCTCACGATGTAATCTGATGACAATTGTGAATTGCGTAAATTAATGTTTTCAATGCTCATTTTTCCCCCTAACATTATCAATTGTATCTCGTCCCCTACCTCCAAGCTTCCTCGACGTCCGTGATCTCCACTACGCTGCTGAATCGCATTTTAGCGTGTGCCTCGGCGAGTCTTATCAGAGACTCCAATTGCCTCGGATAAGCCGTGATTTGCCCGTGACCGCTTCCTACTCTGCGCATATCGACGTAAGCCTGAATCAGCCTCTGTTGGCTCTCCTCATTAAGTATAGGCTGAACGTGTTCCTTGGCGTAAGCTATGTAGTCACGCAGGATACTCATGTCCACGATGTCGTCCTCTTCTTCCAAATCGGATTTGTAGTACAACGATACCAAATGCCTGGCGAGTTTCCTGTCGAACACCTCGTCCTGCGGATCGAGCATCAGGAAGATTAAGTCGAAGCGCGACATCAGCGTATGCGGCAACATGACGTTTTCTACCACCTGGAAACAAGCGTAAAAATCTATTTATAAACCGCCCAGTCCAATATCACAAATATACGTCGTCATCGGTGGATATTTACCGTCTTATTTTTATTCCACTGCGACTCGCAAGGGTTGGCCGCTGCCAGAATACTAGTTCTCGCATTCAGCTGACAAATGATACCCGCTTTCGCGATACTCAGCGTTTGCTGCTCCATAACTTCGTGCAGCACCGAGCGCGTGCTGTCGTTCATCTTGTCGAATTCGTCGATGCAACAGATACCGTTATCCGCGAGCACCAGGGCGCCGGTTTGCAATACCAATTGGCGGCTCTCGGGGTCTTTCGTTACGAACGCGGTCAAGCCCACCGCGCTGGAACCTGAGGGAAGAATAACGAACGTGAGATACGGACGAGAGCTAAAATCAGACTCGAAATCGTCGCTATCGAGAGTCACTTACCCTTTCCGCTGCTGTACTGCGAGCGCGGCACCAAATTGAAGACAAACTGTAGCAGTTGCGATTTACTTGTACCCGGGTCTCCGCACAGAAGTATATTAATTTCGGAGCGGAAGTATTTCTTGGTCTGTTCGCTCTGCTCCTTCTTCCTGCCGCCGAACAATTGCAGCAGTATACCCTTCTTGACGTCCTCGTTCTCGTAGATGCTGGGAGCAATGTGTCGCGCCAATCGTTCGTATATGTCCTCCTTTTGCGATAGCAGTTTCAATAGCTCCACTCTCTCTGGTGGAAACGTATGCTTCTTGCCGTCCTCTTGCTCGTACAAACTGCAATCGTAACAAAAGTGAATAAGAATATATGAATTTATTGCTGTTGAAGTGAAATCTGTTTAGTAAAAAATTCATTAGATTGTGTAATCGTTGCGAAAAGGGATTTGTGATTGAATTTGGATGTTGAAAACCTGCTGTTATATTAGAAGCCTATCTCATAATAGGGGACTTTCCTCAATGTATAAAATTGAACGAAAGTTTGAAGCGAGTGGTAAGTCGCTTCGGGAATTCACAGTTTAATTTCAATACATCAACTGGTATTAGAATAGAATATTTGTAAAAATACGGATCGCGATAAAATAAATAAATAAAAAAAAAAGCAAAACCAAATTGGAATATCCGTCAGAGATGCGTGTCTCACCGCTTTGAGTCCTGCTTTCTGAAGTGGACAACGTCGACGTGCGTCCTGTAGATAGCTCGTACGTTGGACTGCCGAGGATTGACGCGTATCGGCAACGCGCGATATATGCCGGTGACGGAAACCCGATCGCCCGGCGAGACGGCGTCGACCAGATTGTGATGCGCGAAGAGCACCACCGTGTGAGGAGTCTGACCAGCCGGCATGTCGTCCGGCGACTCTTGCAGCTTGATCATCTGCTTATCGGTGAAGTGGCTGCGATTGTGTATCAGAGTGAAGCAGAAATTGTTGTTGCAGTGGGTGCACACCGTGGGCTCGGCAATGTGGCCCCGGTCGATGACCACGGTCGTCGTGAAGGCGCACGCGATGCACTTGAAGAACGCCTCGCGCATCTCCGGCATGATGTTCGACGTTCTAATGACCATCCCGGTAACCGTGATCAATCGGTCTATGTCATCCGGGTTCAGCAGACGCATGCTCGTGGTCCGCGTCACGTTGTACGGACGCACCTGAATCGAGTGCTCCAGCTCCGCGCCGGGGAACTTCTCGAAGAATATTTCGTTCGCGGTCAGATCGAACGCCGGTATCACCTCCTGGGGATACAGCACCAGCTCGTTGTAGAGCTGCGCGTCGAACGCCTCGAGATGGGCGCAGTTTACATTCAAGTAGGGCTCCTCCAGTACATGTATCTCTTCGAGCTTCTGCGTGTAGAGCGGCTCCGACAGGTTCATGTTCTCAGGCAACTCGTCGTTCTCCGCTTCCGGATCGATGAATGACACAACGAAGCGTCTGAATTGCCTCTTGATGCGATCCACCACGACACTCGTGCCCCAGATCGTCAACTGCGGGCCGTTCTCACCCTCCGACGTTCTATCCGCATCCTCCTCTGGTATCTGCCGGTAAAATTTGCCGCATTAACGACTCGACGATCTCGTCGATCAATCTTACACCCTATGCGCATTTTGACGTCTATAACATACTGGAGCGAGTGGTCCTATTGTTCTCGACGTCACCAAAAGAGAGGTGCTATTAAATGAATCTTTGTCTTTTTCCCTATTATCTGGTCGCTCGATGATGTTCTATGGGTGCTTTCGAGCAAGAGACGAGAATAATGGCAACAACAAAGATAAAACGATTCCTTGCGTTACACAGTGTCGCCTGTGTACGGGAAAGTACCCTATCTCACCCACAGACATATTAACCATAGACTGCTTATGAGGCAGTGGAGCTCTAAGCGGGGGACTCCTCCTGAGAGAGAAGTGGCCGCGAGTAACAGCCACTGGAGAAAGATAGACGCCCAAATAAATTCATACAATCCTTTTCCGTCAGCAGGATGCCGCCACTGCCTCGCAGTGTGCGTTCGGGAGCTCGCTATCAGCGCTGCTTAACGCTGAAAACGTTATTCTATCTCTGTTTGCTCATTACGCGTCGAAGCAAAATAGTACGACGCTTTCAGAGCCAAGTAGCGCCGACAGCGAGCACCCCTATGGGTGTAGTAGGGTGCTTTCCAGCAACGTACACAGCGACACTGTGTAAGACAGCGAGAATCGTTTTATCTATGTATCACGTCTTTGATCTCACCCAATATGAGTGAGATAAAAATTCAATCAAACGAGCGATATGTGATTAATGGAAATTGCGTGAAAAGGTATGGATTTGCAGTTTGCTTTCGCTGTAACTATTTACGCCATATTTTTTATCATTATATTTATAAAAAAAATAGTGTCAAGTTATGCATGTCTGCAGAATACTTGAGAAGGGTCCAAATCCCGGACCGAAAAACGTCGTTAGTTTCTTTAAAATAAAAACATTGGCCAGTGTAGGCCATTTCAATAAACTATCATTGATTTTATATTGCTGGCGATAGCAAATCTTTTTGTGAGTCAATCACGGATAGTAGAGACAGAGAGAAAGAGAGAAAGAGAGAAAAAGAGAGAGAGAGAGAGAGAGAGAGAGAGAGAGAGAGAGAGAGAGAGAGAGAGAGAGAGAGAGAGATTTCCCAACAACACCTCTCTCTCTCTCGGCGACATCGAGAATAGGACCACTCGCTCCAGTATGCCGAGAGCTCACTGCGTTGGACTCACAGGTTCGGCCAGGTTAACCTGCCGCACACGCCTGTCGGACTGAACGTCCGGTCTCTGTCGCACGGGCGTACCCCTGACGCCGCTGCGGGGGGTGCGAATCGACGCCAGGGAGCTGGGGGTGCCGTAATTCAGCGGCGAGGACATCTCTATCTCGCTCATACCCGCCGCGAGCGGACTCGTCTGCGCCTGTCGATTCGGCGAGGACTGCAGCGCGGAGGACAGTCCCTCCGAGGAGGCGATGGTCTCGTGCGTCTGACGGTTGTTGGCCCATCGCAACGGGGTGTCCACCGGAATACTGCTCGGTCTCCTCTGAGGTGTACCTACAAAGAACCATCAACGTGCAGCAGTCCAACTACAAGGCGGCGTTTCCTCGACGGTAAACCGGCGCGATTCAAACCTCTGACGGAGCCGACGAGGCTGGGCGTCCCGGCGACCGAGGGTGTCCTGACGGAGGTCGGCGTCCGAGGCTGCCGCCTCGGCGTGCCTCTCGGTGTGCCGGTCGGTGTACCGGTCGGCGTACCGGTCGGCGTGACGGCCGGCGTGCCGCTCGGCGAACGGCTGTCGTCCTGTGGGACCGGAGTCCTCGGCGGTCTCATAGGACTCGACATCGTCGACGGGAGTCACGACGATCCTGCAGTCTCACCTCGAACTCTTCCGAGAAGTTCCGCGCGCGCGGGGCTAACCTCGAAAGTCGCTCAATTTCCCGCGCGAACGCGGAGTCGAGCCTGCCGAGAGGGCGTCGCGCTCGCTCTTCTCTTTTTCTTCCTCCTCTTTCGCGCGCGCGCGCAGGTGTCTATACTCTATTAGCGTTTGATGATAGAAAGACAGATAAACGAGGTAGAAAATAGTTTCTTTGCCTCACTTCTCGGACACACGCTTGCGTGCGGCTCCTTTTCACCTTCCATGTGTATAAGAGTTCTATCTATGAGAAAGACAGATAGATAAACGGGACAGAAAATATAGTTTCTTTTGCCTCACTTCTCAGACACACGCCCATGGTGGAA